GCCGCAACCAATGCTGCCATCTGGACATTGTAAAACCCGTGGGGCCAGGTCCAGCCGTAGAGTCCGCCATACCAATCCCCCTCAATATATTCACCGACCTGACCGGACAGACCAACATTGTCCGGAAGCAGTCCATCGTTCTGGCGAGCGCGTTCTATCCAAGCGTCCGTGTACTCCAGCACCCAACTCCGGTATTTTTGTTCGCCGGTCAGGAGATAGGCGTTGGTGACCAAGCTAGTGACGGCAAGGTTGGCGACTACATCTCCACGACTCATGCGTTGATTCATCACTTCGCCCATGCGCCGTGCCAGCCTTGGATCTTTCAGATCTTCAATTTGGGTGATGCCGGGAATGTCGTAGTGGGGCAAGCCGTATCGCGCCATTCCGGGGGAATAGTTATAGGAACGGTCCTCAGCCATCGACATATCAGGACCGTCGCTGCCGTTGTAGGGAGAGCGGATGATTTTATGCCCTGGATCGTAGTTGAGGGCTTCGGAATCTTCGTTCATGTACAGCCCGGCAAATCGTCGCGCCCGTTCGATGTGCTCTGGGCGGTTTGGGTCAGCCAAACAGAGCAGGTAGAAATAGATGTCGCTCTCCGCTTGATGGAACTGATCGTCCCGCCGGGCGTATTCCTTATGAACTCTTCCCATTTGGGTCAATTGCCGGGTGACAGCGTTCCACTCCCGTACCCCCAACTCCAATAGATCGTCCCCACCGCCCAAAAGATAAAGCAGGGGCCAATTGTAGAAACTCTCGTAGAAGTCGTCCTCGCTGCCGCCGATATTCTCGCCACCGATCAGGCTGCCGTCCGGACGAGTGTACCGCTCCAAGAATGGATATACCGATTGGTCCATGAGATCAAACAGCTGCCGCTCCAGTACCGCCCATGCAGGTGGTCCGGTAAGCGACGTCGTTGCTGTGATCGTGATCATATATGCTCCCTGTGGTGCTATACCTAATATCGGGTACAATTCCGTTTTTGGACGCCTCTATCATCTCTCCGGCAACCTCAATGCAGACTCCGAATCCTTCATTTGATTGCCAAAAAAGGTTGTATCTTTGAAAAAGTCTATAAGATCATCGGATTCTGCATACAAAAACAGTTTCTGTGAAATTCCCTGTAACGTTGGCGAAATGTCTGAACCCTTCTTCGCGATTACTGCAATGGGGATTCCCTTGGCGTACGCGTAACCCGCTTCGATACCCAATCCGACTCCTTTTTCTGTTAAATCAACCACGACTAGGTGACTCGAATCAATTTCAGTAAATGTTCTTTGCATCAATTCTTCAGGGCTTAATTCAACCTGTCCCCATTTCTCAATGTCACGAGTGATGCATACTGTTTCGAAACCGTTTTGCTCAAGTGCAGATGAAATTTTCTCGATACAGTCTTTATTACCGTTGTCTTCACGGTATTTAATAGAGATATAAGCTCTCATAGCTTACTCTTGTCTTCGGTTTCTGACAAAAGGGAATGAATCTTTTCCACATATGGGAAAGTGGGCAAAAACCTATCCGCAAATCACGCCAATCGGTGCGAATAAATTCGTGTCGATTCGTGGATAGATCTAACAGGAATGCTACCTTGTAACAGAAGTTACCTCTACCCCGGATTCGACATTCCATCTGCTTCCCAACTTCTGGACAACGTCGTGCACTCGGCAGCAACCTGTTCCGCCGTAGCCTCTGTACGTCCCGCCAATGCCTCTATCGTCCAGGCACCATCAAAGCCGATGGCTGAAGTGCTGCCCCTAGGGCTGACCAGTCAATGACGCCGTGTCCCGGAACCCAGTGGCAGTCGTCCTTTCCATCCACATCCTGTATGTGCAACGCGTAAAGCCTTTCCGAGGCGATCCGCGCCTGCTCCGCCGCATCGAAACCGCTGATGCAGGCATGCCCTGTGTCTAAACAGAGCCCTACATGTTCAGGTGGAAAACCGGCGATGAACGCACGTAGTTCCTCCATCGACTTCAGCGGACGATAGGGCATGCTTGTATTCGGTAAGTTTTCCAGCGCAATACGGACTCCGGTTTCCGCTGCAACCGTAACCAATTCGCTCACAGAGCGGTGAATACGTTCCGCCGCTGCACCGATGTTTTCCAACTCGTAAGACGACTCTTCAGGGGTGGGCTGCCTGTTGGAATGGACAATCGCAGTCCGTCCACCAAGCTCGCCGAGATACCGCATTGCATCTCCCCCAATACGTGCAACGCTGTCACGCCGAATCTCGTCAATTGACTTGCCAAGTTTCACGCCCGACATGGGTGTGTGTATTGTGTGCGGAAAAATCTTAAATCGCTCCAGTGCATCACGACACGGTCCCGCGTCGTGTGAACCCGACTGCTGCCACTCATCGCCTTCCGCCATCAGTTCGGTCTCGCTGAAACCCGCGGCAGCGATCGACTCAAGTGCTGCTGACGGATCATGCCTTGCGTCGTTCTCTGCGTCAAGAAAGAAAAGTCCGAAGCTCAAAACTGTATGTAGCCACTATAACCTCCTCGGAACGCAGATCTGCGTTCCCTACGATTTAATCGGTGATCTATTCATCGAGCATCTGTTGAATGCGCTCGGTAACGCCTACAACAACGGCGTCGAGAATTTGTCCACCCTTGGGGATGGTTGCCAATTTTGCGTTGTCGTATTGACCTCGTCCGTGCGAATGCGCTCCGGAAAAACGACCATCGCAAATGAAGTCTCAAACTCACCGGCGTGACCCGCACTCCGCTCCAACTCCAGATTCGCCTCATAAAAGGATTGCGGGGCAGTCTCCCAATAGGTCACATACGTGACACCCATGTCATCGAGCTTCTTCATCAGGTCGGGAGCGACAGGCTCAAGATTCTCTCGCTTGTTGCCGCCGTGCCCGTTGAGCACCATGACTTTTGGAACACCCAACCGTTTCAGGCTATTACACACATCGTGGACATATTCAAGATGGATCTCCGGACGTATCGTCAACGCGCCGCCCCGATTCATGTGGTGTTCCGATACCGACATAGGAACGGTGGGTGTGACCAGCACATGGGGATAAAAGTTCGTCGCAGCGCGTTTGGCAATTTCTGTGACGCCGGCGGTATCGTGAATCATCGCCAGATGGTCCTGATGCTGTTCGGTGGCACCTGTTGGGACAATCGCCCCCTTTATAGTACCACTGGAGATAGCTTCCCCCAGTTCTTTCCGTGTGAGTTCACCTAAAAATACATTATTGTCTAGCATTGATAGCTCCTCTGAGTTGTTAAGGCAACAGTTATGGAAGAATAAAAAAAATAGTGCATATTGAGGATAGGAATTGGTTAGGCGGGCAGGAGGGGTGGAAGGTCGGTAGATACCGCCTTCCACCTATAAATAACCTACATTGCAAAGCTTCCAACGAAAACGTTGTTTGTGTCCTGACCACAATTCCAAGTAACGGAGAGAATTTTGTCTTGATAGCTATAAGATGTCGATTTGCCGACGATAGGGGTATCAAGCTGCTCTAGCGGCTTGTACCAGATCTGGTGTGGCTGTGTGCAGTTTTGGCAAGGGTAGCGGGAAACAGATAGCGTTAGCACCTTCCCAACCCGCAAATCATATTTCACACCTTCCTTAGTGAAAGTGATTGGCGCGCTCTCTGTGCTAACGACCTCGCCGAGGAGCTCTCCGCGTTTTGTGGTCATCAGATCGATTAGGGAGGTACGCTGTTCTGACGTCGTCTTTGCGTCGAAATACAGGACGCTGCGGCGTGTGCTGGTGTCAACTGCAAGGTTGTTCTTCGCCGTAACCACCGCGACAACGGTCAATCCTTCCAACGAGACACCCTTCCAGCTCCCTTGGCGGATATTCCAAACGAGGGTTGCCTCCCTGCCCCCTTCAACGTACTCCGCGCCGTAGTGACATGCCCCGACATAGACACTGACGGAACGGGCTTCCAAATACTCGCCCTGCACGGTTTCAGGTTGCGTAGCGAATGCACCGGCGACGGTCAGTAAAAGCGCGATTGCCGTTAAGGTGAAAATCTTGGTCTTCATCTCTGGACTCCTTTCTAAAGATCGAACGTGAAAGTTACTATTTGCAACAAGTGTGTGCAAGTTGCAAGGCAGTTTATCACACCCAAGTTACGGCGTCAAGTGAAAAGAAAACTCCCAAGAGAAAGTATGCAATTCGACATTACCAATCGCAGCGCCGGTGCAAAGCCTGAGATGGAATTTTCGCTTGACGGAACCCATGAAATATGATAGATTGTGTTCAGGATTTGCAATATCATTGAGTAATAACAGCGGAAAATTTCTAGAGTGCCTCATTGGTCATCGATCGTTGGCAACCCATTTTTAGGCTCGTTCGACTCTTGACCGCTAAAAATAGGAGGACAATATGTCAAAAGAGAAAGAACAAAATCAGGGAACACCCATATCGCGGCGGAGTTTCCTGAAAGGCGTGAGCACCGGTGCGGTTGCTGCAAGCGTTGCACCAAATGTTCTCATTGGTGCGGAAACCGCGGCGGAAGCCCAGATGGGTGACGAAATCACCCGTGCTAAAATCAAACTCAATATCAATGCCAAAACGTATGAAGTTGAGGTTGAATCGCGCACGACATTGTTGAGCGTCTTGCGGGACAGTTTTGACACCAGTGGCAAGCGTGTGGACTTGACAGGCGCAAAGCCCATCTGCGAGCGTGGCGAGTGTGGTGGGTGTACGGTACAGGCTGACGGAAAGGCAGTTTACTCTTGTATGATGCTCGCCCTCGACGCACAGGGGAAGCAGATTACCACCGTCGAAGGGCTTGCTAACGGCGATCAGTTACACCCGATCCAAGAGGCATTTGTCCAGCACGATGCCCTGATGTGTGGTTTCTGCACACCCGGTTTTGTCGTGGCTGCGAAATCGTTTTTAGATCAGAATCCGAGTCCAAACCACGAGGAGATTAAGGAAGGGTTGGCGGGCAACATCTGCCGCTGTGGGACTTATCCCTTTATCTTTGAGGCGGTCAAAACGGCTTCGCGTAAGATGGGAGGCTAAAAATGGCATCATGGGGAGAAGCAAAGGATTCGCGCTTGATAGGCAAACGCGTCACGCGTTTGTCAGGCGCCGAGAAAGCTACTGGAAGGGCAAAGTATACGTTTGACATCCATCGTCCCGGCATGCTTTACGGTCGTATTCTGGGGTCACCGGTTGCACATGCGACCATCACGAGCATAGACCTCAGTGAGGCAGAAGCACTGCCCGGCGTCAAAGCTGCCATCCCGCTGATTGAACCGGGGAAAAAGGTGCGTTTTGAGGGACAGGAGATCGCTGCGGTCGCCGCTACCACCGACGACATCGCAAAGGATGCGATTCGATTAATCCAATTCGACTACGATGAATTGGACTATGTCGTTGATGTCGAGAGCGCGAGAGCGGAAGGGGCACCCCAAATTCGTGACGACTGGATGGGCAATCAGAGTGAACCACGAGTTGACGAACGTGGGGATATCGAGGCAGGTTTCGCTGAAGCGGCTGTCGAGGTTGAAGCGACCTACCACGCGCAGGTTCAGACCCATGTGTGCTTGGAGACGCATGGGAATATCGCCGAATGGGACGGGGATAACCTGACCGTTTGGGCTTCGACACAAGCGGTTTTTGGCACACGCCAAAATCTCGCACAACGTTTTGAGTTGCCCGAAAGCCAGGTGCGCGTCATCACTGAACACATGGGTGGTGGCTTTGGCAGCAAGTTTGGCCCCGGCGTGGAAGGTGTCGCTGTCGCGAAACTCGCCCGAAAAGCGGGGGCACCTGTTAGGTTGATGTTGACCCGTAAAGCTGAACACCTTGTTGCTGGCAATCGTCCGTCAATGACACAGACGGTTCGTGCGGGCGCGACGAAAGATGGTCGCTTCATCGCTTACGATATGAGTGGCTACGGCACAGGGGGTATCGGTAGTGGAGCGGGTTTCACTGGTCCCTATGTCTATCATGTCCCGAATTACCGGACTGAAAAATCTGCCGTTGCGATCAACGCGGGTAGTGCCCGTGCTATGCGTGCGCCCGGTCACCCACAGGGTGCTTTCGCCATGGATTCGTTAATGGACGAACTCGCCGAAAAACTGAACATGGATCCATTAGAGTTCCGACGCTTGAACGGCGACAGCGATGCACGACGAAACAGGATTCGTCAAGCCGAATATACGCTCGGCGCACAGGAGATTGGCTGGCACCGACGCAACAGAGTCGCCGGATCCGGTAAAGGCGTTATGAAACGTGGCATCGGTGTGGGTTGCGGATTGTGGGGTGGTGGTGGTGGTGCAGGCAACGCAAGCCCGCGTGACCATCCACTCAAGTGGTGCTGTCGAAGCGGTTACCGGTACGCAGGATATCGGCACAGGTATCCGGACGGTCATCGCCATGATCGTTGCAGAAGAACTTGGACTGCGTCCCGAAGACATCACGGTCAAAGTTGGCGATACAGAACCGGGGTTGCCCTTCTCGCGGGAGCGGGGGTAGCCAGACAATCGGCTCTGTGGCACCGGTGATAAAGACTGCAGCGATGGCAGCCAAGCGTAAGCTCTTTGGGCATATCGCACCGCTGGTGGAAGCGGAACCTATGGATTTACGCGCCGCCGGTGGTCGAATTTACACCGCATCAGATCTAAGGCTGAGCGTTTCGTGGAAGAGGCGACAGGCTATCTCGGCATGGAGACTATCTCCGAAGGTGGCGAATGGGACGAAAACCTCCGCGTCGGCGATACCGCTGGCGTGCAGTTTGCCGAGGTCGAAGTTGACACGGAAACAGGGATTGTCAAGGTCATCAAGGTTGTCGCGATTCAAGACTGTGGCTTGGTGGTCAATCGTCTGACAGCCGAAAGCCAGATCAATGGTGCTGTTATCATGGGATTGGGCTATGCGCTGCTTGAGGAGCGTATCATGGATGGTCAGACCGGCAAGATGATTAACGCGAACCTTGAGGATTACAAAGTCCCCGGCACGATGGAGATTCCTGAGATTAAATCCATCCCATACGATACCGACCGAAAAATAACGGGAATCGGTGAACCGCCGGCAATCCCGACAGCGGGGGCAATCGCTAACGCTGTTTACAACGCAATCGGTGTCCGTATCCGGGAACTCCCGATTACGCCGGACAAAGTCCTCAACGCCCTCAGTTAGAAGAGTAGGAGGAGATGAAAAGATGGAAAATTTTGCTTACGTCAACGCGGCAGATGTCGAGCAGGTCCCTTCGTTATTGAGCGACGATTGGAGCGAAGCGAAAATGATCGCGGGAGGAACCGATCTTCTCGGCGAGCTCAAGGAGTATATTGAAACGCCGAAGAAGGTGGTCAACCTCAAATCTATCCCCGGTCTGGATGAGATTAAAGCGGACTCATCGGGCTTAACCATCGGCGCGCTCGTGACACTCACTGACATCGCTGCACATACAACCATTCAGCACCATTACACCGTTCTGGCAGAGGCTGCTGCCTCCGTCGCATCGCCACAGATTCGGAACGTTGGTACGCTTGGCGGTAACCTGTGTCAGCGTCCCCGCTGCTGGTACTATCGTAATCCCGACATTATCTGCCTGAAAAAGGGCGGCGATACCTGCTACGCAATCGAGGGGTTGAACAAGTATCACGCAATCTTTGGTGGGGGTCCTGTCTATATCGTCCATCCGTCTGATACGGCACCGGCACTCATCGCCCTCGGTGCTACGGTCAAGATTGTCGGACCCAACGGAGATAGGACGATGCCGTTAGAGGATTTCTTCGTCCTGCCCGACGTCAACCCGCAACGTGAAAATGTGCTTGAACCGAACGAGGTCCTCACGGAGGTGCATGTCCCTCAACCGAAGGCGCACACAAAGAGCACTTACGTCAAGATCCGTGAACGCGGTTCTTTCGACTTTGCGTTGGTGAGCGTTGCCGCTAATTTCGAGATGAACGGTGGGAACTTGCAGCAAGGCAAACGTCGTCCTCGGTGGGGTCGCTCCTATCCCTTGGCGTTCCAAGGAAGCTGAAACGGCGTTGAATGGCAAACGTATCACAGCAGCGGTGGCAAAACAGGCGGGTGAAGCAGCGGTGGCAAACGCAGAGCCGATGACTGACAACGGCTATAAGGTCCCATTAACTCGGAACATTATCAGCCGCGCCGCAATGACCCTCGTCTAAGCATAGCTGCGTCAATTTTGGAAAATCTGCCTACATACCATATAAGGAGAACGAACATGTTAGCAGAAAAAGGATCGTCCCTCTTGAATAAACCGATATGTCAGAACTTATGTACCAAGGCACTCTATACCCCCGGCGGGAACCTGCAAAATCTTGTCGAGACCAATCCGTTCTCAAACTACTGGTGCAACTGCACGATGACGGTGGTTGGACCGGATGATCGATTTGTTTCCCCAGAAAATTGTAATCGGTCTCGCGTCTGCTTCAAGCAGATTGGGGGCACCCCTATTGCGTAGTTGGATTCAGGATTTGCCTTCTCGCGAAGGGGAAGTGAGAGGAGACTAGACAGAGTGTAGGGAATAACGATCGTTATTCCCTACACAAGATTACAAGATTTTACCCAGAACCTTCAAATTTCAACGGTATCCCGACAAAACAATTGAACAACCAAAGTGAACAAATAGAATAGAAGATTTTCAATGAGTAGACTTGATAAAGACAAAATACTAGATGAAAATTACAAAATTTTACTTAGAATATAGGGACTTCAATGGAATCGCGGCGGAACAATTGGGGCATAGACTTGGAGTTAGATTCAATGAACTCTTTGATTTTCTAAGAGAACTTATTTCGGAAAAAAAAGTCGGCATCCTTTATTCTGACCCGTTCATAAATCCTCATATTATACGAACAGGTTTTGAATCCGAGAGTAAGCAGATTGAACGACTTGCTAATCCAGAAACACGGGCTATCTGTTTATATCCTCGACCTGTGCATCTTGAAGAGGTTGTCAATCGTTCTGCGTACAGAGATGAACCTTATAAATTAGTTTTAGCACTGGGTTCGCCTCAACTAGCTTATCATTCATTTGACCTCTCTGTGTTAGAATATTATAGAAATGACCCTCGTTATATGTACGAAAACGATGACATTAGGGGACATATTTGCTACAATTCAGACCAGATGGCAGAGGGCGACCAAACTATGCTTGAGGGATTCAGTTTTTCGTATGATTCCGACCTTAATCGTGCTGTTGCCGTTTTGGTGCGTTATCTGGCTCGTTTAACCCCTGAACATCAGCAAATTTGGAAAGCAAAAGAATTGGCAGGAGATTACAAGCTGCATCCCGATTATTATCGAAATGCTATTCTTGGTGAATTCGGTGAAGGGGTGTCAATTTTTAATGCTTTTGCAGATGAGTTACATTTGATTTGTCAAATGACCCAAGGTATGAATCGTTCGCCCCTTTTTCGTGAAGATTACGGCAAAGATCGTGACAGCAGACCCAGAAAATTTGGTTTTCTTGTCAGGCCGACCTTAGAAGAATTTAACGATTTTGTTCACCTGCTGGATAAGATGATTTCTGACAATATCAACACAAAGTTTTTTCAGAATGAAGTGCCTTATGAAACAGAAATGGAAAGGAGAGGTGGAAGAATACAAATCCAACAAAAAGGAAACTCTCCAAATTTTGGATGACTGGATGAGGAAGTCTTTCCGCACAGATGATTGGGAACCTTGGAACGAGGCGATCCGAACGTTTAAAGAGGTTAGGAAAAACGCCAAAAACCAGCCCATGTGATAGATGAAGATGTTTTGTGACCAAAATTATTTCAAAGAGCAACGCGAACTTATTGATTCGTGCACATAAAGGGATGAAAACATTACGCATGATATTTGAAAATCACCCACTAGTAAGTTGCTTGGACATAGAGATTCCCCATTACCTTCGAGAAGGAAAAATCTGGACATATTAGATATTCAATCTCTTTGAAAAATTGTTGCAGGGGCACCCACCCGATAAATCGGGATTAAAACTGTGGGTGCCCCTCTTTTTGCATCAAAGAACTGGAGGCACAACTTGAGCACAATTGACGCTATGATGAGGAAGTGTTAGCAGGCAGCGTCGGAAAGGCACAAAAGCTGCCGAACATGGGGACGCCGCACGTTGTGTACAAAACGGTGGCAGTGGACGATTTTGTCCTGACCTTGCAGCCGTCTTGCCGGTCAAAGCGAACGGGTAAACCGATACCGGGTATCAAGAACGGTTACACCCAAGGCGAGCCGAGCCCGTTGCGCTTACTGATAAACCCTACCGATTTAGAAGTGGAACCGGTCAAGGCAGAACAAGGCATAGCAGCGTTGAAGGTGTGCATTCCAGAAACTGCCACGTTGACCGAAATTAAGCGGATTCTGCATACACGGACGCAGGGTAAGGAATGGGTTGTCCGTACCGCAGATTTTGCCGGTTGGGATTTACGGGTGAAACACCGGCGTCTTGTGTATCAGCGCGCAAAGTGTGACCATTGCCACGGCTATTACGTTCACGGATACAAAGGATATTGTCTATTTTGCGACGTGAGAGACAATTGGCACCCGTGCGAATATTGCGACACCATGATTGAAGGTGAATACCGCTTTTGTTATTCCCACAGCAAGGAGGCGTACAGCGAAGGACTTCCCACCAAGCATTCAGGCAGGTACAACACGGTAGGCACACGGCGTGTGTGGCACTACACAGTCGTCTCCCCAGAGATTCAACAGTGGTTTGAATGGCGTCGCATGTTAAGGGAAGGCGGTAACACTGCCTCAGTCGAGAATCCGAAGTTACCGCGGAAAACAGAGGGGGCGAACACGGCTGAGGTGGATGCACTGATAGCCGAAATGGAAAAAATATTGAAGGAATAGCTCATGGTGCAAAAGGTGCCGAGTAACCGTTGGAAACTTGGGGAGAAATATCACCACTCTGTTTCGCGACACCTATGAAAACGTTTCGGCTGCGAATCTATCGGAAAGAACCACTGCAATGTTGATAGCACCGTAGGCGTGGATATTGACAAAGCGATATATCCGACTTTTACGAGGCGAACCGAAACGCGTAGTTGTGTCGGAATCGTCAGAAGGATTGGGACAAAAGGACGTATTTTTTTCTGAAGTGATTTTTGCGCCTCATTGAACTTTTACCGTGCAAGTAGGTTTTAATCCATAAATAGTGCCCTCTTAAAAAGAGCAAGATCTCGTCATGAAAGATAGACTCACACCTGAATTGCGAAAAATAGAGAAAGAAGTAGACCACCATTATAAATCTAATCCTCTGTTAAATCTTCCGTTCGCGACTGCTGCGTGGTCTTTGTTAGCGGCTGCCGAAGACGGATATACTGATAAAGAAACTTACTGGAATAGATGGAATACAAGATCTTCATGCACTAGCTAGCGATTTTGTTGTTGAAATTGAGCATCCTATGTCTTGGCTCTATGATGCTTGCGAACAAGGTGGTCAAATCTCCTGTGTTTTTGATGATGATCTATATAAAGCATCTAGAGATTTATTCGAGTTAGGCAAGAAATATGATTGGTTTGTTTTTGCATACACCTGTGCCAGCAACGGGGTGCTTGAATTGGAACTTCAGGGATCAACAATTCAACCAACAGGGGATTTTTTCACAGAGATAGAGTATGAAGCATACAACGTCTTGATTGACCCATATCAAGAACAAGAAGCATTATCTTTGATGAATCTTGATAATTTCCCGGCAAATGCAATCAAACATTCTCTAAGGATACAAGGTGATAGGTTTCGTTATAAATTGAATCCAAAAATGGTTTCGGATACAATAACCTATTTGAAACCTTTATTTGGCAGGATGTTTTCATTGCCTAGTGAATGGGAGTTTAGTCGTTACTCATTGGGAGATTTTCGGAAGGCTTTTGAAGCAATATGTGCTATAGCACATATTCACTGGACAGCACGGTGTATGGCTAGGCATATGGGATGTTCTCGCATGGGTTGTGCTGATAGCATTTATATACCAACTTGTGGTGAACTCCTAAGGCGCGTTGTTAGATATTCTGGCGTGTCAGACGCAAAGGTACAAAGCATCTTTGATGATTTGTCCTATGGAAATAGAGGCATTTCACGTCCCGAACCTGCATTACAACCTTTAATCAAACTGAATTCAGAGGTCTATGCCATTGTGCCTCATCTATGGATGTGTTCTTCAGCAGAGCGGAATTTGACCGTGCTCTTAAACAAGCTGCCATCTGAAAAAGGAATTTACGCAAAATTAGTTGATGAAAAAGAAGAACTTATGAGACAACGGTTCATGACCTGTTTGTCTGATAAAGATTTTCGGCTCATTTGGGGACAGGTGTCAGGCTTGCCAGATGTTGACCTCGCTATCATCAGGGATTCCGAACAAACGTGTTTACTGTTAGAACTCAAATGGTTCATTGCGCCAGCGGTAGCACGTGAACGTATCGAGAAATCTGAAGAAATCGCGAAAGGTATTTCCCAAGTGCTTAAACTTAAGTGGGCTTTTGCGAATAATCACAAGCCGTTATTGGAAAAACTCAAAATTGATTCCAGTTATAGATTGGAAGGGATTGTTGTCTCAGATAATTGGATAGGAAACGCTAATGTTCAATCTCCGGAAATACCTGTAATCCGAGCGGACCATCTCATAGCAAAGTTAAAAGCGACGGAGTGCCTTGGATCTGCGATGGAATGGCTGAAAGACCGAAAGTACTTGCCCGAGGAAGGAAAGCATTTTAAGGTTCATAGGCGTGATACCAGAATCGGCAATTGGACCCTGAAATGGTATGGGATTCAATCACTTATTGATGATGCGTTTTTTCCTTTGTAAGCGGATCCGTTTTCTCGCGGTATTTGACACTTGATTTCCGAGAGGATTATCTTGAAATGGTTCAAGGGGATAATGAGAATGGCAAGAGAAAGAATCGTCAAAGACACTCCTAAACGAGGGAAACTCACGGAAAAACAAATTCAACGGGCTGTAGAGAAGGTTATTTACACTAGGCTTGGACGCGATGCTAAAACGGGTAGGTTTATAACCTGCAAAGAAGCGAAGCACCGCAAAGCAAACGGCAGTAGTTGAAACTATCAAGAGACCGAAAAAGAAGAAATAGAATGCGTGTTGTACAAACAAGAGAACTACAAATCTACCACGACCCAAATGGTCGAGAGCCTTTCACTGAATGGTTAAAATCACTGCGAGATCAAAGGATACGAAAAAGAATTCAAACTCAGATTCACCGCATTGAATCCGGTAATTTAGGCGATCACAAACCAGTTGGAGACGGTGTATTTGAACTCCGCCTCCACTTTGGCGCAGGTTATCGGATCTATTTTGGAGAAGTAGATAATACTATTATCCTGCTACTCTGCGGTGGAGATAAATCCTCGCAAGACAGAGACATTGAACGGGCAAAAGTCTATTGGCAGGAATATACGGAGTCTCAAGAATGAGAGAAATGAGAAAATACCGCGATTACCTAATCGAAGAACTTTCTGATCCCGAGGAGGTAACCGTCTATCTCGAAGTCTCTAAAGAAGAATACCAGAAAGATGGTGACGCTGTCGCATTTTTGTTAGCACTTCAAAGCATCGCCGAAGCACAGGCAGGGAACAATGAACTCGTTTCCCAAGTCTATTTATTAAGCGGTGACGTTCACCGCTCACGAGGGGAGTATGACTTAGCGACTGAAGACTATGACACTGTAATAAAATTGACTAACACAGTGATAGAAACGGATCCCAATAATGCTGAAGCCTATATCCGCCGCGGTATAGCTTACCACCACAAAGGCGAGTATGGCTACGCCATTGCAAATTTTACTAAAGCGATAGAATTAGATCCAAGCATATCTCAACTCTATTTAGCGCGAGGCATGGCTTACCACCAGAAAGACGAGTATAGCTACGCTATCGAAGATGTTACTAAAGCAATAGATTTGAATCCTGATAATGCCGAAGCCTATAAGCATCGTGCTCTGGCTTACCAGAGCAAAGGTGATTACGACCGAAGTAAAAGCGATTATGACCGCGCCATCATAGACTTTACCAAAGCGATAGACCTGAATCCCAAGGATACCAATGCGTATTGCGGCCGTGGACTGGCTTACCAGAGCAAAGGTGATTATGACCGCAGTAAAGACGATTATGACCACGCCATCGCAGACTTCACCAAAGCGACAAACCTGAACCCTAATGATGCCGTAGCCTATTCTGGTCGTGGTTACGCTTATCAAAGCAAAGGTGATTATGAGAACGCCATCAAAGACTGCACCAAAGCGGTAGCACTAAGCCCCAATGATGCCAAAGTTTATAACCATCGTGGTATTATCTATTATTACAAAGGCGATTATGACCGCGCCATCTCAGATTATGCAGAAGCAGTAAGCCTAAACCCTGATTATGCTCGAGCCTATAACAATCGTGGGACTGCCTATTGTGACAAAGGCGAAGTTGACCTTGCCATAATGGACTTTAACAAGGCGATACAACTCAACTCTAATTATGCCGAGGCCTATTACAATCGTGGCGTAGCTTATAGAGTGAAAAGCTTGATGGATCGGGCCATCAAAGACTATAACAGGGCAATACAACTCAAACCCAATTATGCCGATATTTATAAAAAGCACTGGGAGACGTGGCCACACCCAGAAGTACGCAAAGGAACTGGATCCGTTGTGAATCCGCTAGAAGGGATCACTGAGATTGACACTCTCGCAGGCATGAATGTTTCCAAATGGAGCACCTCACATACGTTGACAGAAATGGTCGAAGGTATCACCAAGATAGCTGTGAGTGGCTTCAAATCGCTCGCGGAAGAGTGCGTGATTGACATCCGGCCTTTGACGATTCTTGCCGGTGCGAATAGTTCTGGGAAGTCGAGCATCATGCAACCGCTTTTAATGCTCAAGCAGACGCTAGAGGCGACGTTTGATTCGGGACCGTTGTTGATTGATGGACCGAACGTTCAGTTTACGCTAGCAGAGCAATTTTTTTCCAAGTTAATCGGCGAAGAAAGAGCAGATCGTTTTCAGATTCAAATTGAGACGTGTGGGTTTGGTTTTTCTTACTCGGTGAGGCTCACTTTCAGCAAGGAACTAAGAGGTATTGAAATCGTCGAAATGACGAAGACAGAAAGTAAATACCAACTATTACCCCCCGAGGACATGACTTTGTATCCTAGGATGCCGCCCGAAGAAATCAAGTCGTTGGCGGGTCAACACTGGATTACCAAGGATTTTGATACTGTAAGACCTGCACGATGTTTTTTACGCTTTGAATCTCAAGATGGTCATAGGTCCCTGAGTATTACCCCTGACCTTGAATCCCATATTTCTAACAGTATTCATCTCCCCGGATTACGAGGCAATCCAGAACGCACCTACAAACTGACTAGCACTGGTCCCCGGTATCCCGGTACATTTGAAAATTACACTGCAAGTATCATTCACGAATGGCAGGAGACAACCGATAAACGTCTAAAAACGTTAGCCGATGCCCTTCATACTCTTGGGTTGACAGGACAAGTCGGCACAAAAAAAATCGACGACACCCGCATCGAACTTCAAGTCGGTCGCCTCCCTCTCCCCCCTGCTAGCGGGGGGGAAGGGGGGGGTACGGACATGGTCAGCATTGCCGATGTAGGATTCGGTGTGTCCCAAGTTTTGCCCGTTTTAGTCGCTCTGATTGTTGCCGAACCGGGGCAGTTGGTCTATCTCGAACAGCCGGAGATGCACCTCCACCCCCGCGCACAGGTCGCGTTGGCGCAAGTCTTAGCAGCTGCGGCGAAACGTGGTGTCCGTGTCGTCACGGAGACGCACAGTTCGCTGCTGCTTCTGGCGGTTCAAACGCTTGTCGCTGAAGGAGACCTCTCGCCGGAGCTGGTGCGATTGCATTGGTTCACACGGGATGAAAATGGTGCCACCAAAATTACCCCTGCCGAATTAGACAAGGCAGGTGCTTACGGGGATTGGCCCGAAGACTTTGATGATGTTGATCTGAAGACACAAAGCCGCTATATAAAAGCAGCCCAATCGCGCCTGGCTGAAAGAGCATAATATGCGGTCAAGGGATTCCAAGCGGCTCGTTGTGAATGCCTCGGTTGCACGGGCTGCCGGTGGCGTGGAGGCAACGGCTTCAGTATCAATAAGCTGCACCGAATTTCTCGAAACCTTTCGGGACGAATGTTCACATCGCGTCGTAATGACACCAGAGCTTTCCGAGGAATGGGAGACGAATCAATCGAAATTTGCAGCCACATGGCTGAGATCAATGATTGCTAGGAAAAGATTCGATTATGAGGACCCTCCCGTGAACCAGGCGTTGCGCGACGAAATTGAAGGAACAGCAACCCGCGAAATTGAGATTGAAGTGATGCGGAAAGATTTTCACCTGCTCGAAGCGGCAAGGGAAACCGACCATATCATCATTTCGCTTGATGAAACTATCCGGCGGCTTTTCGCCCGCGCTTCTCAGCCGTGTTGGTGAAATCCGAGACATCGTTTGGGTGAATCCTGAACATACGAAGAGAAGAACCACTTGATTGGCTTAGAAATGGTGCACCGCCGGACGATCATCGTAAACTCCGTGCTTGACCATACACCCATCCTGAAGAGTAGGGAATTGTTGAGTTAGTACAGCATCCCAATATAATCGGGAGGTCTTAGATGAAAGCGTGGCGTTTCTATGGATTTAACGATATGCGGTTGGACGAGGTGCTGACCCAGTTCGTCGTGACGGGCATGTGATCGCAGAGATTCTCTGTGTGCAACCCTCCGTCACCGAAGCACAACTGGCTTACGGCATTCCGACCCTCGCTTACGAGCAGATTAAGCATCGACTGGCAACCGAGGCACCGATACGGTTATTCGGGCACGAGTTCTGCGCCCGAATCGTGGAATCCGATGGGGATTCACAATTCCGACCGGGAGACCGTGTGGCAGCCCGCGCCAAGCTGCCCTGCGGCGAATGCTCCCTCTGCCTATCAGAGCGTGGGAACGACTGCCGGCGGGGTCCGATTATCGGTTTTCAGTTGCCCGGCTGCTTCTCCGAGTTCGCTGTCCTGCCCGAAATCGCTTTGACGAAGGTGGACGACCGAATTTCTGACAGCGAGGCGGCGTGCTTGCAGTCGCTCTCCGACAGCCTCGCAGCGGTGGACACGGCGGAGATAAATATTGGGGATACCGTCGCTATCTTCGGTCAGGGCAGCATGGGGCTTGAGTGTATGCAGGTCGCTCGTGCGAGTGGTGCGGGACGGTTGATCACCGTAGATGTCCGAGAGGAAGCGTGCCAAGTTTCTAGGGAGTTGGGTGCTGACCACAGCATTGACGCGAGTCAAGACAATCCCGTTGAGGTGATTCAGGAGTTGACGGACGGAAACGGGTGCAGATGTTGTTTTTGAATGCGCGGGTGGCAGTCCGAAGCAGGGTTTGTCGGGAACGAAAACGCTTAAACAAGCCATCGCAGCTGTCCGATCGGGTGGGAAATTAGCTATCGTCTCATGGTTCGGTCACTCGATGGAGCTTGATGTAGACTCGCTACGGGAACGGAGTCTCAGATGCTTGTTCCCAGACATCAGCACCTTAGCGCACTTGGAACACACGGTTCGGTTGGTCGCTCTCCGGACGGATTCGGCTGAAACCGACCATCAAGCACATTTTATCTGGCATTGAGTCCGTCCCCAAAGCCTTCGAGATCACCGCAAACAAGGGTAAATACAGGGCTATCAACCCGGCGCAGGTGATGATGCACGAGTGATTTGATTCGCAACAGACGGCTCCTCACACACCATTTCAGAGAGGAAGAACGAATGATCGACCCCCAAACGACAGACACTTTCCAAGCACTCCTCCCACATTTCCGGGAGCACGGTTATGTCATTCTCAAAGACACCCTCACCCCCGATGAAGTGGCACACTTCCGTGAAATCTACGACCGTGACCGTGAGCAGTTCGGCAGTCCAAATTGCTGGCATCCTTTCTCCAACCAGATGCGAAACTGTAATGCGTTAGTCACCTCGCCGGAGTTTGACCAACTGCTCCGCCATCCCAAGATCCTGCCGGCGATTGAATTTCTGATGGGGGGACCTGTCTGTTTCGCCGAAATCTGCTTGCGCCACATGTCACCTTATGATGGCGAACCCCGCCAAGGTTTCCATCGTGATCGTCCGCATTGGGAGGCGCATCCGCTTCGCATGGACTACTTACAACTGATGGTCTACCTCACCGATGTCGATGAAGGGACACACTGCTTCTCCATTTCGCCTGAGTCTGTTGATGAGCCGATTTTGGAGATAGCAGCGAACGTCGAGCGCAATGGAAGTGTAGATATTCACGGACCGGCAGGCACCGTCGCGCTTTTCAACATTGCCGTTCCGCATACGGCAACGGTCCGCGTCACGCAACGAGAGCGGAAAACGGTTCAAGCGTATTATGGCCACCGTTCTCGCCCATACCTGAGCGACTGCTCTGTGATACCGCCGCGATTCTCGCGTCACGATCCGGATCCGGAGGTACGAGCGTTTTACGGCAACCTTAACAATACGACCCGAGCTTACTTGGCAGCCTTTGATCCCCCATCTGCGTGAATCTTGAATCTTACTACCGGAAAGGCAAACCGCTATGAAGCGTAGACATTCCTTGGACGAACCCCGTGTTTTCATGTTCGATGACGGACGGCACGCTGCGAGTCTTTATCAATTTGAACCGCCCCTCGAACCTTCGGACTTCACCTTCAACGTAGATCAACTGGCGGACAGCGGCGTAGATACCCTCATATACTTCGCGGTGCTTGAGGGAGGCATAGTAATGTATGACAGCCGCGTTGCACAGAAGTGGGGGGATAATGTCGTCAAATGGACGCATACGGTCTGGTATCGTGCAGGGCGAAACATCCACCAGCTAGTCGCCGATGGCTACGACCCGCTGAAGCTGCTCTGTGATCGCTGCCATGAAAAAGGGATCTGGTTCATCCCCAGCAACCCGGTCACCCTCTCCGGCGGCGATAGAGCGACTGACGGCGGGTTGGGTCGCAAGTCCGACTTTGTGTACGATCACCCGGAGTTTGAGGTGGGTGAGGAGGAAGACCCACGGGCATCGGACGCATCGGTGACTCGGTTTCAGTTTTTTGCATCCGGAGGTTCGAGCGGAACGCTTTCAGGTCTCCGAGGAACTACTCACCCGCTACGAAACCGATGGCATCGAACTGAACATGACCGATTTTGTTCCGTTTTGCAGGTTCGACAAGGTCGAGGAACTCGCGCCGATTATGACCCAATGGATACGCGACCTGCGCGCAGTTGCTCGGAACGCCGAAGCAGATCAGGGGCGTCGTAAACGCATCTATGTCCGTATCCCGGCACATCCAGATGCGTGGAGTGCCCTTGGGTACGACGTTCCGGGTTGGGTTTCAGAAGGATTGGTAGATGGTCTCATCTGCCAACCCGGGCTCACGCAGGGACCCGTCGATCAGGATCCTGATCTCTCAGGGGCTGTGGCTCTGGTTAGTGGGACTCAATGCAGGGTGCTTGCGTCCTTCCAAAATGTACTCGGCAGGCAACTGAAACAGTACGCCACCCCACCGATGATCTGGGCTGCTGCTGCGAATGCCTACACCCAAGACGCTGACGGTTTCGGAATAGGGGACGCCCACTGGACACCCAACGGTTGGCCCTGGACGCACGACGAGTACCAGACCCTGCGACTACTGGGGCACCCCGAAATGTTGGCAACGGCTGATAAGCTCTACCGCGTCCGCTCCGAGACACAGGGTGTGACCAAAGGTGTGGGCTGGGCACCCGGTGTAGCCCCTTCTCTCCCGCAGACATTGGTTGAGGGCGAACCGGTCGATGTACGATTGCGGATAAGCGACGAACTCGAAAAATGGGGCGCGCTAGGAAGGGTTGAAGCCGTTCAACTACGGATACGCATGATAGGGATTGAGCCTTTGCTGAACGAGGTCCGAATTGAACTTAACGGTCAACCGTTACCGGATACCATTCTGGATATAGAGGATCTGAACTATCGCCTGATAAGCACTGGGGCTGTGGGACCCTATGGACAGGTGTATAAATACCAACTGTCCCCTGCGTACTATCCGAAGCCGGGGCATAACACGGTGCGAATCACGCTGGTGAAGCGAGATCCGAATATTGAGAATCCGTTTGAGGTTTACGATGTCGATTGCGACATCCGATACCGTCTCCACCGTCACTTTGGACGAGAACCAATTGACTATTAGCATCTTAAACAACTCTTGGAGGCAACCTGATGGAATCAACGACAGTTGCTGGATTGCGTGTGGGCGCAGGAAGTGTGAATCTTCCCGCCGATGATTCAATGGTCGCTGCCGGTAGCATTCCTGCCGAAGCATGTCAAGGGTCAAGAAGGCGAACTGAGGGCGGTTGCCATTGTGATTGAAAAGCCGCTGACCCCCAAACTTGCTATTGTCGTTTGCGATGTTATTGTCGTGACTCGCGATGACGTTGATGCTGCGGTCTCCGAGATCGAAAGGACGACTGGCATTCTCCCCGCTAACATCCTGATTAGTGCCACGCACACGCATCATGCACCAAGTACCATCGTCGTGCACGGCTATGGCCGCGACGAGGTGTTTTGCGAACGTCTACGCGAAGGGATTATCCGGGCTGTCCAACAGGCAGACGCGAACTTAGGGGACAACGAATCCCATTTCTACTTCCATCAAGGCGAAGAAAATACTATTGGTGGTAACAGTCGTCTGTTGCTTGCTGACGGCACAATCTGGTGGGTGGGGCCCCCGTACGGATGCGGTAGGTCCCACCGGTCCCTTCGACCCACAGCTGCCAGTTTTCGCTTTCCGCGGTGCGGACAACCAACTTCAGGCACTGATGTACAACCATTCCACCCATACGATTGGAACTTGCAGCGGGGATGTCCGCTCTCCTAGTTTCTACGGCTTGACGGCACAGGAGTTGGAAGCCGAGTTGGGCGGCAGCGTGTGCTTTCTGCCGGGCGCGTTTGGCTCGACGCACAATGTCACCGAGGTGCCACCTCCAGAGGCGGTTAGGCGGCTCAAAGGGGCGATCACCGACGCTATGGGGCTGGCGAAACTGATGCCCGTTGATAAATTGGCGTCTATCCAGCGTTCCTTTACGTTCAAGGTTCGGACGTTTGACGACGAGGTAGAGGACGAAAAAGTATCTTCGTACTGCCGTAAGCGCGTGCCGGACGGCGCAGATAGCACTATTAATGTCTTCCGAAACATGCGTCAAGTGCTTGCTCCCCAACAGGGGCAAACACGTCAAACCACACTCCAAGCGATGGTTATGGGTGAAGTCGCCATTGTCGGTGTGCCGGGCGAACTATTTACAGGTTTAGGCGTTGACCTCAAGGAACGTTCTCCTTTTCAGCATACTTACATCGTCTCGCTTGCCAATGACTGGATGGGCTACCTGCCCGACCGAGAAGCTCACGAACTCGGCGGCTATCAAACTTGGATGGGACTACACAGTTACGCAGAGGAAGGCACCGGCGAGCGGATGGTTGATGAATCCATCCGTATGCTCCGGCAACTGCGAGCAAAAATAAGAAGTAAACAGACAGAAGTAGAAACTAAGAAAAGACTCGAGAGGTATCAATATGGTGAACTATTCTTTTGATAGACAGATTGAACCAGAACAGTTGCAGGAGTTTGCTTCGGCAGACAGGCTGGGCAAACCAAAGGAGTATTGAGGGCATTCAAAAAATGCTCGAAAGAACGCCCCTCACCTTGGGAGCGTGGGAAGGCGACTGTCTTGTCGGCTTTGCCCGAGTGATAACCGATGGCATCTATCGGGCATTGATCGACGATGTAGTTGTGGAGGAGTCGAAACGTGGAACAGGCATCGGTTCAGAGTTAATGCGGCGGTTGATTGAGGAGTTAGCGGAAGTAGAGGAGGTCTTTCTGCATTGTCGGGGAACAGGTCGTTTCCTTTTACGAGCGGCACCGTTTTGAGCGTTCCTATGGTGTAGTGATGGATCTGAAAAAGGATTGAACCGTAACGAAAGGAATGGATAAATGGAAGAAAAGTCAAACGAACAGCGTCCTTCGCATCTGGTGCGTTTCGGACAGACCGATTTGTACGTCTCCCGTCTCTGTCAGGGGACCGCATTTCGGAATATGCCACGGGCGGCGGATAACCCAATGGGGTTGCGTGTGCTTCAACACTGTATTGACGTGGGCGTGAACTTCTTCGATTCATCAAACGCTTACGGTTGGGGCGGGGCGGAAGAGACCTTGGGAAAAGCTATTGCAAGCAGACGCGATCAGGTGGTCATTTGCACCAAAGTTGCGGCATCATACGCACCAGAAAAAGAGAGTAGTCCGGGGAAACCGGCGCGTTTTACCCGTGATTTTCTTTTCCAGCAGGCAGAAGACAGTCTCAAACGCCTACAGACCGACTATATCGATCTCTACCTGCTCCATCAGCCGGACAAGGTCACCCCAGCAGCGGAGGTTGTCGATTCGATGGACGCGCTGGTGCAGTCAGGGAAGATTCGATACTGGGGTGTCTCCAACCATAGCGTCGCACAGGTGAGCGAGTATGTCGAACTCGCTCAAAGCACGGGCAAAGCACCCCATTGCAGGCACTGAGGACTACTATAACATCGCTGGAGAATCTTTAACTGATACGGGTGATTCCCGCGTGCGCCAACTGGAGCAGGAGATGTTTCCTGTGTTGCGGAAATCAGGGCTGGGGCTCCTCGCTTTTAGCCCCTTGGACACGGGACACCTAGTGCCGGGGCGCAACATTGATTCGAATACACCCTTGGGAATACTGATAGGCGTATTGGATCGAGTGGCTCAAGATATAGGCGTGAGCCGTGCCACGGTTTGCGTCGCTTGGGTGCTGATCCATCCAGAGGTGACGAGCGTGCTGGCTGGCACTGAACGTCCTGAACATGTCGAGGACAATGTCGCCGGCACAGAGATAGTATTGCCCGACGAAGCTATTGAGACTTTGAACGCTGCTAGTGCAGCCTACAGAGAACAGCAGGCGCAAAATTTGTCTTGACGTATAATGTAGCAAAAGGATTCACTGTCTTTGAAAGAACAATTGTTAGAAACAACTCCCCATTTACCCAAAAATAACGGAGGAAAAAATGAAACTTTTTCTGATCGGCTGTGAATACAGCGGCACAACCACACTAGCTCACGCAATCAATGAATGGACCAAAGAGACGATGGACAAGGAGTTTACTCTTATCCATGACCACTTCAAGCTGCCGGATACCAAGCCTCATGGACCAGAGCTCACTGAGGAAGAAGTTGCACAGTTTTCCGCGCTTAGTCCGCGATTGACAGAGGTTATACAACGACATAACCTTTACTATCACACACCTTCTCAGCCTTCGTCGGGAGAAGACTTTCTCGGAATCGGTATCCATATCGAAGACGGAATATACGGACCCCTATACCACGGTTACGGCGGACCGGGCGAGCTGGGCGACCGGCAAACGATAGCAAAAAGCCTTGAGCAGCGTATCCTCAAGTTTGCGCCTGAAACCGTGCTTATCCTAGTGAAGGCTTCCCCCGCGGTTATTGCCAAGCGAATGAAAGAAAATCCTCATAAATACCCCGTTGTGCCTGAACAGGATATCCCAGAGTGCTGCAAAAATTCGAGGAGGCGTACCAAAATTCGTCAATTAGATCCAAGATAACGCTAGACACCTCCACTGCAACAGTCGATGAGACAGTCGCTGATTTTGTAGAAAAAATCCGACCGCACTTAACCGAGTCTGAACTCATGAAACTTTAGCTTTCACAAGGGAAGTAGGAGTACCCACACCGAAAGGAAAAAAGGAAATGGTGGACAAAGCTTACCTCCTTAATGCGGAAGAAATCCGAGATTTTATCGTCAACGGGTATATCCAAATTCAGGCTGATTTTCCGACCAACCTTCACGAGCACATCTATCAGCAGATCGAAGATGTACTTGCGAAGGAAGGTAACCCGGGAAATAACCTGCTGCCCCGGATTCCTGAGATTCAGCGGGTTTTTGAGCATCCAAAGGTTTGTGGTGCGTTGACCAGTCTGCTGGGTCCAGAATACCTTATGCACCCCCATCGTTACTGCCATCTCAACTCGTCAGGGAGTGACGGGCAGACTTGGCATAAGGATGATTATGTATTTGACCAGAAGGTGCGCCATCATCGCTTCCGATGGGTGATGGCTTTCTACTACCCGCAAGATGTCACCGAAGACATGGGACCGACGGGGGTACTACCCGGAAAGCAGTATTACAATACGGTTTCTGATACGAATCCGGCGCAAAGCACTGAGCGGGCGGAGGCACTTTGTGGCAAGGCGGGTACGGTGACAATTGTCAATTTCGATTCGTGGCATCGGGCGACAGCGAATCGTAGCGACAAAAAGCGTTACATGCTGAAATTTCAGTTCACACGGATGGGTGAACCTTCTCAACCTTTACAGGGTAACGGGCATACGAACTGCCAATCCGCGGACGATGATAGGCATCAAGGGTTATCAAGACATGTCTGGAATTGGCTCTCTCAAAGCAATGGTGCAGATTCGATGCACGTCCCATCCGACAAAAACGGCTCTGTGTCACAACTGATAGCGGGGCTACGAGATACCGATGAGAGTGTTCGCCTGAATTCGGCTTATGCGTTGGGAGGGATGGGAGAATCCGTTGTGCCGGCACTAATGCAAGCATTACGGGATGAGGCTGAGGTTTTGGCGGAGAAAAACGTCACAAAAACTGCAGCGAATCCACAAGGCGGTAACCCCGCCGATCTCTATTCTGCTCAAGCACTGACAGAGGTGGGGCAGTCCAGTGTACCGTCATTGATTTCGGCGTTAGGGGGTGCGTCTTGGCCTACCCGTGCGGCAGCTGCAGATACGTTAGGCAATCTAGGCAAGCTTGCGAAAGAGGCTGTACCCGCATTGATTCGGGTGCTGCGTGATGAGAGTTCGTGGGTTCGCCGAAATGCAGCGGAGGCGTTGGGAACAATCGCGGGATCTACTGAGGACATTGTACCGGCATTGATGCAGGTTTCAACTGACTCGGAAATGCTGGTTCGACTCAATGCGGTGATGGCACTGGCAAAGATTGGTCAATCCACAAACGATATCGTGCCTGCATTGGCGGGACGGTTAAGCGATGAGGACCGATATGTTCGTTACTATGCAGCTAGCGGTGTTACGGCAGATTGGAACGCCCGAAGCACAAAACGCTTTATGGGACGACCTAGTGACCTCGCGCTGGTGCCCCATAACAACAGCAGAGAATCCTTACTGACAATTACGCATCTACTTCTCCCTGCCACAACCGTTGCATCTCTTCACAGGAAGCTAGGAGGGTGTCTAGCGTGCCTGTACCCCCTCAACTCGTCCATCCTTCAGGACAATAATCTTATCCGCTCGACGGAGTGCGGGCCGGCGATGGGAGACAACAAGGCAGGTGGAATGCTGTGTTTCAAAGACGCGATCCCACAGCACTCGTTCTGTTTCTACGTCGAGCGCGGAGGATAGATCATCGAAAACATAAAGCTCGGCAGGACGGATAAACATCCGTGTCGCAGCGGCGCGTTGTATCTGTCCTCCGGATAGCTTGACGCCTCGTGGTCCCACCACCGTATCCAATCCGTTTTCGAGCGTCGGGAGTCCTCCTCCATCACACCCAATCGAATCGCTCGATTAAGTGCTCCGGGTCATCTGATAATCCCATGAGGATATTGTCCTTGAGCGGTTCACTGAAAAGTCGTGGGACTTGTGGGGTATAGGCGCAACGGGGCGGGACGAAGAACGATTTGGGATCGTTCACCACCTCACCATTCCAGTAAATCTCTCCGGATTCCTTTGGCAGTACCCCTAGGAGGGTTCGCAGCAGGGTTGATTTGCCAGACCCAATTCGCCCGGTGATGACGATGAATGACCCAAGGGGTATTTGTAGATCGATTTCGTTAATCCCATTCTCCGACCCTTCGTAGCGGTAGGTCAGTCCTTTGACCGTTAGTTCATGAAGTTGATCTGCCTCTGTTTTGACGGGGACCGGAATAGTGGGGGAATCGCCCCGGAGGTAGACCGGACTATGTTGGACGAGTACGCTTGGTGACGTCTCATCAATGATTTGCTCCATTCGACCAAAGGAAATTTGTGCGCGTGCGTGGTGCGTCATCACTGTACCTAAGAGCGAGCCACTTCTAGCAACTTCACCCACGTAGGTCATGAAGAGGGCAATATCCCGACGGTAAAGTCACCCGATTTCATCCTTTCTGCAACGAGTATGAGAATCACTCCCGTTGCCACATTCCCAAGATTTTGATTAATCGAGCGTAGGAGTTGTTCAAACAGGTTATCTATCAGTGTCGATTTTCGTCGCCCGTCGTTAAGCCGGTGAAAGTGCGAGATGACATTTGACTCCATCGTTGCAACCTTGATTGCCAACACCGCCTGGAACATTTCGTTGATGAAGTTTGTCACCTGTGCCGTGGCAACCCGTTGTGCTGTTCGATATTGATAGATATATTTTCTTGCCGCATCAATAATAATCACAACGAGGATAGACGGAATGACCGTGACGAATGTAATCATCACATTTATCCGCGCCATCCAGGCGATAGCAAGTGCGGCGAAGATGAGGTTGCCCCACAGGTGAATGTATCGCTCCAAGTATCTAACGACTGCTCCTACATCATCGCGAAAACGATTGGTTACTTCGCCGGAGGCACTTGAAATACGGCGTGGCGTCCGCACGTTAAGCAGAGCATCCATTAGGTTTTTGCGAAGAAGTGATTCTATTGCGTACCACCAGCGGGGCCAAACGATTGCAGATCCAAACAACGCAATCCGGTCGCCAATCTCAACAGCGATAAACAGTGCCACAAAGGTCCAGGGGTTGGATCCTGCTTGTGCGTCGCCTGTGAGGGTATCGAAGAACGCTTTCATGACCAGCCCGGTCAGAAATGGGACAAGGTCATCTGCGCCCCGAAAGAGTATCGTAAGCAGAAAAAGTCCCGGACGATAACGAAGAAGCTTTATGGCAGCTCGCCCTGTTCTCATACGGTCTCCCTGTATACTGCGCGGCACAGGTCCGGGATATGCCCACCAAAATCAAAATTTTTGTTTATCATGTCGTTGTCTCCCAAGATTATAACACTGGCACCGATAAACCCTACGGTAACACATCTAGCACAAAAAAAGCAAGATTTTTCCCATCGTAATAGCTTCTGAACTAAAGCCAGAATTTGGTTCTCTTCAACATCGGCTATATCAATGGATCAGGAATTGGGAGTTGATATTTTCGCATAACCTCTTGAATTTGATCCCACGTGCTTTCTTCGACAAAGATTCCCTCTCGTGTTCGTTTTTCTTGTTCACCCCTGCCTCGCTCACCTGGGATGCGAATCGCCTCGACACCGGGTGAACGTTTCGCAGACTTGATGTAGTCAATGAAGCGATTGATCTCGGCGTTGAAATCTGATAGGTCCACAAAACTGGCAATATTGATAACTGTGATGAACACGCCATTGCCCACCCTTGAACCCTCTTGGCTGGTACATCCCGCCCCACTCAACGCTCCAGAGAGAATATCGACAACAATACTGAGTCCAAACCCTTTTTGCGCGGCGATCCCTCCAAAAGGAAGCAGCGCACCGGGCGGAGATCCATAAAAATCCTCGATGTTGGTTGTCGGATTCCCCGCAGCATCAATAAGCCACCCCTCTGGAGCAGGCTCCTTCCGATGCCGTCTCACTCGTACCTTTCCTGCTGCGACAACGCTCGTAGACATATCCAACAAAATAGGCTCGCGTCCTTCAACCGGAATGGCACAAGCAAGCGGATTGGTTGAAAGCCGTCCCTCAATCCCTCCATAAGGCGCGACATTTTGACCGCCACCATGGTCGTTCACCGTCAAGATCCCGATCATATTCTCCGCCGCCGCAATCAGTACATATCCCCCTAATCTGCCGGTCTCATTAGAACAGGAGATAGTAACCGTACTGACATCGGTTGCCTCGCTTTTTCAATTGCTAATTTCATCCCATGTGTCGCAATCACGGGCCCAAATCCCCAATTTCCATCGAGTGCTGCCATCGAAGGGGATTCGCGTTTCACTTCGATCGCTGCCCCCGGTTGAATCAGGGATTCCTCGATTTCGTGAACGTATTTTGGCAAGTGGATGATGCCATGTGAATCATGTCCGACCAGATTGGCGTCAACCATGGAGCGTGTCACGACTTCAGACTCTGCATCAGAAATGCCCATCGCACGGAAAACCTTCAGGCATGTTTGTGCCAAGATCTCCGCTGTGAAAACTGGCATTATCGACCTCCTCTAGTTATTATCGATTGTGGATCAACGATTTTCAGATGATTCCATGTGTCTATTTCGTCAGGTAGATGTTCATTATAAGGGTACTAGGAAAGTTTGTCAATACCATCAGCGGATGGACACCACTTTGGGATTGACCGTGTCTAGGAAATTTGATAAGATATGCTTCAGAAAGGAATCATAATATGCCGGAGCAGAAAGTTAGGATTGGATTCGTCGGCGTCGGCAACATGGGGCAATGCGCCCACCTGAAGAACTATGCGAATTTAGATATTTGTCAGGTAGTTGCGATTGCTGAGATACGTGAACCGCTGCGCCGAAAGGTTGCTGCCCGCTACGGCATCCCAAATACCTATCCTACACACGAAGAGATGTTGCAAAATGAAGCGTTAGATGGTATCGTGGCTGCCCAACCTTTTGGTCGATATGGGATACTTGTGCCTGAACTTCTCAAGGCAGGGGTCCCCGTCTTTACCGAGAAACCGCTTGCTGCTTCCATCGAAGCGGGCGAAAAAATTGTGGATGCCATGAGAACGAGTGGGACTTGGCATATGGTTGGTTACCACAAACGCAGTGACTTAGCAACGATGTACGCAAAGACGGAAATCGAGTGTCTCAAAGCATCGGGTGAACTTGGCAAAATGACGTATGTTCGCATTCTAATGCCCTCCGGGGACTGGGTGGCGGGTGGTTTTAATGACCTAATTCGTGATAATTCCCCAGCCCTCCACTGGAGTGGGACGCACCTGCCCCCGACATGAATGACGAGCTTCGGAACCAGTATAACGGTTTTGTCAACTATTACATCCATCAGATCAATCTGATGCGCTACCTGCTTGGAGAACCCTATACGGTTACCTATGCCGACCCTTCTGGCGTACTGTTGGCAGGGCAGAGCGAGAACGGCATCGCTTGCACTATTGAAATGTCCCCCTACAGCACGACGATTGATTGGCAGGAATCTGCGCTTGTGTGTTTTGAGCGGGGTTATATAAAGATTGAATTGCCAGCACCGCTAGCGAGTAACCGTCCGGGTCGCGTTGAGATACTGCGGGACCCCGGTGAAGGTATTACCCCGGAGACCGTCGTACCACAACTCCCTTCAGTACACGCCATGCGACAACAAGCGATCAACTTCGTAACTGCCATCAAGGGAGAGATTGATCCACCTTGCACTTCCGAGGAAGCGTTGGAAGATTTGAAAGTCGCTCGCGCCTACATTAGACTACTTACCAATCTTGCGTGCAATGCCCCATCCCTTTAGGGTGGGGATGTAGCGCGCCAAAGTGCGTTGTTAGTCAAAAAACGGTTGAAATTGCAGGTAAAAGATGTTACAGTTATCTTGGCTTTCGTGAGAGGGCGCAACTCCACTGCTTAGTGGAGCCTCTCACCTCCAATTGCGTGGACATGAAAGCCAGACAGCCGAGTCCCTATGAAAACCTACAAGTTCAAAATGTATAGCAACCACACTAATCGTGAGTTGCAGCAAACGATTGACAGCCATGCTCATGTATGGAATCACTTTGTGGCGTTGTGTCGCCGATACTATGCTATCTACGGTAAGTATCCGGGTAAGAAAGCACTCATGCGACACTTAACCAAGTTGAAGCGGCTCCCCCGCTTTGCACATTGGAATCTCCTTCCCAGTCAATCGTTGCAAGACGTAATAGACCGACTTGATAAAGCGTACTCTAAACTGTTTACTGACCGCAAAAGCGGCAAGCGTTCAGGTCGTCCCCGTTTCAAGAGACGTAAACTATACAAGTCCTACACACTCAAGCAAGCCGGGTTGGAAACTGCTACAAAACAACTCTATCCGTATCGGCAAACGCATCTACCGATATTTCAAAAGTCGGGAAGTCTTAGGCACCCCGAAACGCTGCACGATTAAGCGTGACAGCGTAGGAGACGTATGGCTAATCATTCTGACAGACCATGTAGATACAGATTTAGAGTCTCCCACGACGGGTAATAACGCGGGGTTTGACTTTGGACTAAAGAGGTATCTCACCGGGTCTGACTTCAATGACTACGACTCTCCACAATTCTTCAAGCGCGGTCTCCACGCTATCAAACGTGCGAACCGCAACCATTCACGAAAGGTCGAAAGGTCAAAGAATCGGGAACGTGCAAGAGTCAACCTTGCAAAGAAACATCGCAAGATTGCGAACCAAAGGCAAGATTTCCACTGGAAACTTGCTCATGACCTCACAGACAGATATGATTGGATTGCCCTTGAATCTCTGAACCTCAAAGGCATGAAGTCCCTTTGGGGTCGCAAAGTCTCTGACTTAGGTTTTTCTGACTTTGTGCAGAAACTCAAGTATATCGCTTCCAAGAAAAGCACGGAAATCCGATTCATAGACAAGTGGTATCCTTCGAGTAAGACCTGCCATGTCTGTGGCGCAATCAATCAAGAGCTAAACCTTCGTGATAGAACATGGCAGTGTCCAAACTGCCACACAGAGTTGGATAGAGATCGGAATGCGGCTCTCAATATCCATAGGGTGGGGGCATCCACCCTCTCAGGAGAGGCCGTAAGTCCCGGTTCGCCGGGCAATCCTCGTTGATAGAGCAATTCGACTCCTTAAAGGGAACGGGTGAGAATCCCCACCCTTTAGGGTGGGGGAGTATGTCAAGGGCATTTAATCCCAACGTGTGATCCATACCAGATCCAGACAGAAAGGCTTGTTTCTTTTCGTCCCAACAAAATCACTAAATCTCCTCGCAAGAACATGTAGCTAATTATAATGAGGAGGGAATTGACCGAACATTGGCATCAGAAAGGAGCATTAACAATGAGCAGCTTAATTGCCGTCCATCCCAAGTTTGATGGTGTTTGGCCCTTTGCAGCCGATCACTTCCGTACACTGTGGCAGTCACAGGGGACAGTCGAATTCATACGCCTCGACCCTAGTGACCAGCGAAACCTCGGCGAGATCGCCTCACATCCCGCCGAAATCAAACGGCTCGCGTGTCTTAGTGTACCCGTGACGTTGGAATGTCTACAGCGTTTCACGGGACTAGAGGAAGCAACCTTCCAAGGCAGCTACGGTAGTAGCGTATCAGAGGGACCGATTCAGGAACATATCCAGCAGGCAGGAATCACGGTTTATAACCATCCGACCGAAGGATTTTGGGGGCAAACTGTGGCAGAGTACGGTCTTGCGTTGACGCTGTGTGGATTGCGTCGCATCCCACAACTACATCGTGCAATCCTTAGCAGCCTAGTACCCTGGGACTACGAAGCACCCAACAGCATGGGTCGTCCCGGGGGACGTGGGCATCAATTTGGTGATGACTCAAACTTTACCAGTGGCACAATTGCAGGGAAACGGGTGCGTATTGTCGGTGCCGGAAACATTAGCAGTCGCTACGCCAGTTTTGTAAATATGCTGGGTGCGGATGTAGCGGTTTGGGATCCGTATGCTAGTGAGCCCTGTTTTCATCGCGCAGGTTCTCGGAAGGAATGGCACCTTTCTGAATTGGTTAAAGACGCTGAAATCTTTGCACCGATGGTGCCTTTGTTAGAATCAACGCGGGGCATTGTTACTGCAGAGCATATCAACGCGCTGCCGAAAGGCTGTCTAGTGGTTCTGGCAACGCGTGCAAGGATTTGCGATATGGAGGCAGTGCGAAGGCGGGTTCTTACTGACGAATTGAGCCTTGCCGCTGATGTCTGGGATGTGGAACCACTTCCGTTAGACGATCCACTTCTGGGACGGCATAACGTCGTCCATACGCCACATAACGCAGGACGGACCATTGACGCCAACCGGGCATGGGCGGAGAAATTAGTGGTACAATTTAAGCCACAGTAGTGCAATTCACGAACAACACGATATGCCAAAATACCCAATCAATAAACTTATCACCGATTTTGACGAAACAATATCGGAACGAGATACTATCAGCACCCTTGTACATACAGCGGCTGACAACCGTGCGCATGAGAAAGAAGAGTTTCTCGCAGATTGGCAGGAGATGGTGCAATGGTTTTTGACACGCTATCATCGGGTATGCGATGCGTGGCAGAACCATCAGCATTCACTTGTCGATTTCCTAGAATCCTTTGAGGAACTGGAAACAGCCTCCATACAACGGGTGATGACGAAAGGCTTTCTAGAGGGATTAACAAAGGAGGGATTAAGAACAGTTGGGCGGAATGTCACTAAGAAAGCGGGTGTTGATCGGGTGTTGTCGGCTATGCGAGCGGATGGCGTTGCGGTTGAGATTTTATCAGCCAATTGGTCGGAGGCTTTGATCCAAGGGGCAACAGAGGGGCTATGCGATCAGATAATTACTAACAGTTTGACGTATGATGCGGCAGGACGTTCGACTGGGAACATCCACCTGCATGTCGTTTCGGCACGGGATAAGTTGAGAAAGTTCAGGTTACGAAAAAAAAATCCCCCGAACCCCGATGAAATCGGGGACGGAGGAGTAACACGGACGCTGTATATTGGGGATTCGATTTCAGATTTTCTGGCTATCCTCGACGCAGATTTAGGGGTACTGATTGGACAGAACCCCACGGCGATGCAAACGATTGAACGGTTTCGTCTCCCAACCCAGCGGCTCCAAGAGGGTACGCGATTTGATTTCTCACGGCGTTATCAGAGAACTATTCTGCTCGTCAACTCATGGAAGGTACTGGACGACTTTCTCTCAACTGCTGAGTAGGTATTGCGTATGTTGCGAGAGGAAGACGAAACACTTAACGTTTCATCTTCCTTGCAAAAATGAACTATGCAAAGCCGTAACACCGCTCAAGTTTAATCTGCTGCTGGTTCATCAACCTGAGACGATAGAGAATCAGTAAACTCAGGTTGCTGTGAATCCCCATCGGATTCAAGTTGTGCTTCCCCTGCGGGGAAAGCGCGAATCTTCCGGAACTTAGACACTCCTGTTCCTGCAGGGATAAGATGTCCCATGATGACATTTTCCTTCAGACCAACGAGCCGATCTCGTTTACCGACGACCGAAGCTCTCGTTAGTACATTGGTTGTCTGCTGGAATGAAGCGGCAGAGATGAAACTTTCCGTGGACAGGGATGCCTTCGTGATTCCTTGTAAAATCGATTCAGCTGTTGCAGCCTGTCCGCCGTTTTCAACAACCTGGCGATTCGCTCGATTGAAAGCCGTACGTTCTATTTCCTCCTCTTCGAGAAATTCTGTACCGCCCGAATTCTCGATTCTTACCTTACCCAGCATCTGTCGTACAATGACCTCAATGTGCTTATCGTTGATGCGCTCGCCCTGTGTTCTGTACACATCTTGGACTTCATTGACCAAGTAATTCTGGACCGCCTCTTCCCCTTTCACTTCAAGGATATCGTGCGGGTTGATTGGTCCATCTGTCAACCGCTCCCCGGCATCGACCCTATCGGTGTTCTGCACAATTAGGTGTTTGCCCTGTGGAATGCGATGGCTCTCTTGAAAGTCTCCCTCCACCACACGCAGGATACGTACACCACGGCTAGCACTTTCCAACTCAACCACCCCTTCAATCTTGGAGATGACAGCGGTGTCCTTCGGTCGTCGCGCCTCAAAGAGCTCAGTGACCCGTGGCAGCCCTGTCACAATGTCTCGACTTTGCCCTTTTTCGCGCGGCAGCCGTGCCAAGACCGCTCCTTGTTCCACCTGTTCTTTAGCCGGCTCCAAGACAGTTTCATTTTCTTCCAGTTCTTTAACCGGAACTGAAAGGTATGCCCCCGTTGGCATCTGATAGCTAATCAGGACTTCTCCGGCATCGTTCTGGATCTCAATTTGTGGCTGATCTTCGCCTCTGTGTTCGATAATGACCCACTCTGCTGAACCAGAGGTTCTTTCCTCACGTGCTGTTTTGCCTTTATCAATGTTCTTGAACACAACGCGTCCAGCATGTTCTGTCAGAATCGGTACTTGATATGGATCCCACTCAAGCAGCAGCGTCCCTTGTTCGTCGTTTTGGGAATTTCCTTTAGTCACTGTTTGCCCATCTTCGACGTATAATCGTGCGCCAACATCGGTGGTATGCCGCTCCACCGTATATCCATTGCCATCAATAATATGGATTTGCGCATTTCTGGAAAGAACAACCCTTTCCGTTTCTGTATCGGGTTGTTGATCTTCCGACGCCGAATTAGCTTCAACAGGGCGTTCAATAAATCTGACATTGTAATATTGAACCGTCCCATCATGCCGGGCTTCAATCCTCGATTGGGACCCACCACCACTGACGGTGCCGCCCGTGTGGAACGTCCGCATCGTCAACTGCGTTCCCGGCTCCCCGATTGATTGCGCTGCGATGATACCAATCGCCTCACCAACATCTACTAGATGATTGCTCGTTAAATCGGTGCCGTAACATTTTGCACAAGCACCGTACCGGGCTTCGCATGTCAACACAGACCGTACACGGACTTCAGGGATACCAACGGCCTCGACTTGCTTTGCTGCTTGTTGGGTAATCAACTCATCCTTTGACACCAGCACCTCACCTGTGCTCAAGTCAATGATGTCATCGGCAGCTGTGCGTCCGAAAATCCGTTCTGAGAGCGGAGCCTGATCCTCTTCGTCTGTCGTCTTAGTGATACCTCCGAGTGTTCCGCAGTCGATAGTTGTTATCATCACATCTTGTGCAACATCAACCAATTTCCGCGTCAGGTAACCGCTGCTAGCTGTCTTAATAGCGGTGTCGGCAAGTCCCTTGCGCGCGCCGTGCGTCGAGATGAAATATTCAAGCACTGACAATCCTTCGTGGAAGCAAGATTCAATTGGCTGTTCGATAATCTCTCCAGAGGGCTTTGCCATCAACCCACGCAAGCCCGCCAATTGGCGAATTGAATCCCGTTTGCTTCGAGAAATCGCGCCTGAGTCCACCATGATATGAACGGGATTAAATCCTTCGACCTCATCATCACGTCCTCGTTCTAGTCCATCAAACAAGGCGGTTTCGATTTGTCCGACCAGTTGATGCCAGACATCAATCACTTTGTTGTACCGTTCGCCTTCACTCATGCCCATGTCGCCTCTTTGGTAATCGGCTTCAATCTGTTCTACCCGCTTCCGTGCTTCCCTTATCAATTCGGACTTCTGGTGCGGGATGATCATGTCCTGCATAGCAATAGAGAGTCCGCCTAGCGTTGCGTAATGAAAGCCAAGCCGCTTCAAGTCATCTATAAACGCCACAGTTTGGCGATTACCCAACTCCTCAAAAGCACGAGACACTAAGTCTGAAAGATCCCGGGAACTCATTTCTTGGTTGACAAATGGCAGCATTTGTTGCGTCTTGGCATCGGTGAACGATAGTGTATCAGGGATAGCTTGGTTAAAGATTACTCGTCCCACCGTTGTCTCAATTGGCTGCTCTGCTCCACCAAAGTAGAGTTTTACCGGATCATGCAGCCCAAGGGCACCACAATCGTGTGCAAGAATAATCTCTTCCGTATCTTGATAGGTTCGTGGGGTTGGCACTTTGCACACTTTCTCCCATTCCTCTTCAGGAACCGCCTTTGTGAGAAAACTACAACCCATTGCGACATCTCGGTTCGGCACCGCAATAGCTCCACCGTGCGCTGGCTTGAGAAGGTTTCGCGTAGCCATCATCAGTAGCTTTGCTTCAACCTGTGCCTCAACGCTCAATGGAACGTGCACTGCCATCTGGTCCCCATCAAAGTCAGCATTGAATGCCTCACACACAAGTGGATTGACTCGAATTGCTTTTCCTTCTACGAGCACGGGTTGGAACGCTTGAATTCCGAGTCGATGCAGCGTTGGAGCGCGGTTAAGTAATACCGGATGTTCGTCAATTACCTCTTCCAACACCTCCCACACTTCTGGCGAGACCTGCTCTGCCATATTTTTCGCCCGTTTGATAGTGTGAGCATAACCTTTCGCCTGCAGCTTATGAATGATGAAAGGCTTAAACAGTTCCAATGCCATCTTCTTCGGCAAACCACACTGGTGCAACTGAAGTTCGGGCCCAACCACGATGACGGTTCGTCCCGAATAGTCCACACGTTTGCCGAGCAAGTTTTGACGAAAACGTCCCGGCTTCCCCTTGAGCATATCGGAGAGGGATTTGAGGGGACGATTGCCCGGACCACGCACCATGCGACCATGACGACCATTGTCCAGCAGCGCATCTACCGCTTCTTGGAGCATTCGTTTCTCATTGCGGATAATCACTTCCGGTGCACGGAGTTCCATCAGGCGTTTCAGACGGTTGTTCCGATTAATCACGCGCCGATACAGATCGTTCAAATCGCTAGTGGCAAACCGTCCGCCATCGAGAGCAACCAACGGACGTAGGTCAGGCGGAATTACCGGAATTACCGTAAGGATCATCCAATGTGGCAGATTCCCTGACTTTTTGAAGCCCATGACCAATTTTAACCGCTTGGACAACTTCCGAGATTTTTGTTTACTTGCGGTCGCTTCGAGTTCTGCACGCAGAGTTCCGATTTCCTGATCTAAATCAATCTGCTCCAGTAATTCTCGAATCGCATCTGCCCCCATACCTGCACGGAAACTATCGGGAAATTTATCTTGGTATTCCGTGTACTCTTCCTCTGTCAAGAGCTGTCTTACCTCTAAACCACAATCTGGGTCATTAACTTCTAATACAATGAACGACTCAAAATAGATGACGCGTTCAATGTCACGGAATGGGAGGTCTAAAAACAACCCTATCCGGGAAGGCAGCCCCTTGAAAAACCAGATGTGTGATACCGGTGCCGCTAATTCGATATACCCCATCCGTTCACGGCGTACCTTCTGTTGGGTAACTTCAACACCGCATCGGTCACATATTACCCCTTTATGTTTAATCCGCTTGTACTTACCGCATCCACATTCCCAGTCTTTTTGCGGTCCGAAGATCGCCTCACAGAACAAGCCATCTCGTTCGGGACGAAATGTACGATAGTTAATCGTTTCAGGTTTCCGCACTTCGCCGCATGCACAGTTACTTGTTGCACATCCACTGGTTCGCTGATGGCAGGCTGTGTTTTTTGACCATTCCTTAATGTGTTCTGGCGAAGCAATCCGAATTGAAATCGCATCAAAATTGTTTGGATTTCCCGACTGTGTTGTTTGTTCTTGGATTTGATTTGACATGGCTGTTCTCCCTTAGTATTAACAGTTGGCAACCGGCAATTGAAAATGAAGTACTAACTCGGTAGTGTGGTCTTTTCGTCTTGGTGTGAGCAGCTGTAAACCCCATTTACCAAACGAATTCCGAATCCATGACGTTGGAAGGATCGGCACGAGCCAACAACATCGGGATATCGGAGCAACGGAATGGAAATTAGATTAAGATTCGCGTCATCTTTTAGACATGGGACAATTTTTTTGTAGGTTGGACATACCTTACGCAAGTCCCTGAGTGGCTGAATCATATTTCATGTTCCGACTCCCAATCCTCAGGGGCTGGGTCAAAAGTATCTATGTCGTCAGATGTCTGCTCTAAGTCCACATCCAAACAGAGGCTTTGTAATTCCTTCACAAGGACGTTAAATGATTCTGGAGTGCCCGGCGCAGGGGCATTCTCTCCTTTGACAATTGCTTCGTAGATCTTGCTCCTTCCAACGACATCATCGGACTTAATTGTGAGTAATTCTTGCAGGGTGTACGCAGCACCGTATGCTTCTAGAGCCCATACCTCCATTTCACCGAGGCGTTGACCACCTTGCTGTGCCTTACCACCGAGAGGCTGCTGAGTCACCAACGAATAGGGTCCCGTACTGCGGGCGTGAATTTTATCATCCACCAAGTGATTGAGCTTGAGAATGTAAGTATGTCCGACAGTAACTTCTTGGGCAAAGGGTTCCCCGGTGCGGCCATCATACAACTTGGCTTTCCCGTGTTCTGGCAAACCAGCTTCTTTTAAGAGTTTACGAATCTCCGGCTCCTCTGCACCATCGAAGACCGGCGTAGCAATGTATAACCCAAGCTCCCTAGCCGCTCTGCCCAAATGTGTCTCTAAAATCTGTCCCGCATTCATGCGACCCGGAACTCCCAATGGATTCATGATAATCTGGATTGGCGTACCGTCTTCCAGATAGGGCATATCCTCTTGTGGGAGAATCTTTGAAACGACCCCCTTGTTGCCGTGTCTGCCGGACATTTTGTCGCCGACAGAGATCTTTCGGCGGGTCGCCACATAAACTTTCACCAGTTTGAGAACGCCTGGTTTCAACTCATCTCCCTTGCGAATTTTCTCAATCTGTGCGTCCCTTTCTTCTCCCAGATCCCTAAGACGTCCTTGCGCCAACTGTTGAATGCGTTGGATGAGCTCCATTGCATCAGTATCCGTAACATGGAAGTGCTCCAACGGAACCCCCGCATCAAGCAACTCTTCTGTGACAATCCTTCCTCTCCTAGCAATGAGGTCTGTGCCATCAGAGACACTGCTAGCGAGTTTTTTACCGAGCAGCGCGTTACGAATTTCGGCGTTCTTGCGTTGGTTAATCAAACCACGTTTCGCCTCCCATTCCTTCTCCACCTCTTTTTCTTTGGCGAGCTCCCGCAGTCTCGTTTGACGGTCAGGTTCTCGCTCTTTCCGAGAGAAAACCTTAACATCAACAACAACGCCTTCTGTGCCGGGTTTGACATATTTAGAAGCGTCTCGTACCTCGCCAACCTTCTCACCAAAGATGGCGCGTAGCAGTTTTTCTTCGGGTCCGAGGTCGCTTTCCCCCTTCGGTGTTACCTTGCCGACCAGAATACTCCCAGGACGGACAAGCGAACCGATGCGAATAATTCCCTCCTCATCCAATTGCGCCAAAGCTTCCTCAGAGACATTCGGAATGTCTCGCGTAATTTCCTCACGTCCCATCTTTGTATCACGCGCTTCTACCTCAAACTCTTCAATGTGGATGGAGGTGTAGGTATCGTCAGTGATGAGCGACTCGCTGAGGAGGATGGCATCCTCATAATTATATCCTTCCCAAGACATGAATGCGATTAGGATATTGCTTCCGAGGGCAAGTTCTCCATTTTCGGTGGAGGTTCCATCGGCAATCACTTGACCCGCTTTTATCTCTCCTCCGACATTTACACATGGACGTTGGTGGAGACTGGTGCCGCTGTTCGATCGCTTGAAGGTTGTCAAGCGGTATACATCGTAGCCCATTTCGCTGAACGACTGTTCCCCACCAGCAATCCGGAAGGCGTCATCGGTGCGAATAATGATTTCAGCGGCGGACACGCTTTCCACAACGCCATCCCGCTTTGCTAGCACAACCGCTCCAGAATCGCGAGCGGCTTTATGTTCCATGCCAGTTCCAATCAGCGGAGCCTCCGGGCGGATAAGCGGTACAGCTTGTCGCTGCATGTTACTCCCCATCAACGCACGGTTCGCGTCATTGTGCTCAAGGAAAGGGATGAGTGCAGCAGAAACACCAACGATTTGCTTGGGGGAAACATCAATATAGTCGATTTCTAGTGCTGACTTCCGCGGAAAATCGTCCCTTTGGCGTGTCACCATCAAATCGTCTTCCATCGTTCCGGCTTCATCAAGGACAGCATGCGCTTGCGCGATGGTGAACGTATCTTCCTTATCTGCAGCCAAGTAATCAATCTGATTGGTTGCTTTGCCCTTCGACACTTTGCGATAGGGTGTTTCCATAAAACCGTAGGCGTTTACCCGTGCGTAGGTACTTAAGGAAACAATTAGCCCGACCGATGGACCTTCAGGTGTCTCAATTGGACAGACGCGTCCGTAGTGAGTTCGATGAACATCTCGCACCTCAAAGTCGCACGTTCCCGATGTAGTCCGCCAGGTCCCAACGCACTCAAGCGACGTTTATGGGTTAATTCGTCTAGCGGATTGGCTTGCTGCATGAATTGGGACAGTTGGCTTGAACCGAAGAAGTCTTTAATTGCAGCGGTCAACGGTTTAGGGTTAATCAGGTCGGCAGGGGTTACATTCTCCAAGTCTTGAACCGTCAATCGCTCTCGAGTTGCGCGAGTCACTCGCAACATCCCCATCCGCACCTGATTCTGCAACAGTTCGCCGACAGCTCGAACTCGACGATTACCGAGGTGATCGATATCGTCCATCTCCCCTTCTCCGTTCTGTACTTGTAGCAGGTATTGGAGAACCGCGGCGATGTCTGCTGCACGCAGCACGCGAACCTGCTCATCTACTACCTCGTCTTCCTTCCGATACAGGGAGAGATTACCCAATTTTCCATTGAGTTTGTACCGTCCTACCTCTGCGAGATCGTAACGCACCGGATCGAAAAATAGCTTCTCAAATCGGTTGTGTGCACTCTCGATTGTAGGCGGATCACCCGGTTGCATCTTACGAAATATCTCAACTACTGCAAGGTCTTGGATACTACCACGATAAACGTTGAGGGTATCCCCTGCTTTCTCAATGGTGAAGTTATCTCTACTGTTTTTGTTGGATATACGATATCGTCCCTCTGCCAATGCTTGCACGCTCGCGGAGGAGGATAGAGAAGTACCATTGTCCTTAAACTGTTGGTGCCATGCATCTGATACTGGCGCACCATCCGTCAAATCGCTTTGGAGGTCAGACGACACTTGAAAACTCGACGGCAGATTGTAATCTGATTGGAGATCGCGCGTGAGCGTATTCCGCAGGAAACGGATCTCTTCTGCATCGTCTGCATCTAAAACCTCAACTTTACCGACACCCGCCTCACGGAATTCATCAATTTGCTCTTGCGTCAATTCCATATTCGCTTCAAGCAAAACATCTTCAGTGACAGGATGTTTGACAGGAGCAGCCGTTACCCGATCAATTAGGGAGTCGTCAACCTTAACCTGTTCTGTTTTAGCATACAGCTGAGGATGGTTTCATCGGTTTCCCAACCCAGAGCCCGTAGCAGAACGGTTACGAACATTTTTTTCCGTCGATCGAGCCGGACGTAAACCAGGTCTTTGATGTCGTACTCGAACTCAATCCACGCGCCACGATACGGAATAATTCTGGCAGTGTTGAGCGTCTGCCCACTGGTATGGGTATCTTCCCCAAACGTTGCGCCGGGCGATCGTTGTAACTGACTGACAATCACGCGTTCAGAGCCATTGATAATGAAAGTACCGTTTTCCGTCATGAGCGGAATTTCGCCCATATAGACTTCGTTTTCTTTTATGTCGATAAGCTGATTTTCACCGGTATCCTCATCTTTTTCTCTGAGAACCAATCGGACACAAACCTTCACTGGCAGCGCATAACTGAATCCGCGGGCTTGGCATTCATTAATGTCGTATTTCGGGGTGCCGAGTGAATAACTAACGAACTGGAGTTCGGAAGTTTCGCTGAAGTCGGGAATCGGAAAGATTTCGTCGAAGACAGCTTGTAGACCCTTATCTTTCCGATCTTCTAGAGGGGTATTTCGTTGAAGAAATTCTTCGTAGGAGGATTTTTGAACCTCAATGAGATCCGGGAGATCCATAATCTCCGGGATCTTTCCATAAGTCAATCGTTCGCGTTTACCATAATATTTGACGGGTTTGCCATATTTGACGGGATGGGGCATGCTTTCACCTGACCTTGAGATTAGAGGATAAGGGCATTTCTGAATTTTTTTGTCTGAAACGGGCGTAACGCAGTATTATATAACAATTATTATTCCGTGTCAAGTAAATTTTGGGGGCGCATATCATTTTTCATCGAAAAATTCCTTTGACTTCAGAAAAAATAGCTGCTACGATAATAGTGGGCTTTTCATGAGCCCGTCCTTCATTTTACGGCAAGTGGTGCTGTTTCGCCGGTAGCTGCTTGTTATACACTCGACAAACATATGAATCTAACAGAACAGATTAAGGTTCAGGCACAAAAACTTGGATTTGAATTGGTTGGTATCCTCCCCGTTGAACCGAGCCAGATGATTGGTCGTTACGAACAGTGGTTGAAAGACGGTTACGCGGGAGAGATGGATTATCTAGAAAAGCATCTACCACTAAAGCGAGATCCGCGCCAGATCCTCCCCGAAGCCCAATCAATCATCGCGTTGGCGATTAATTACTACACACTTGACCCGCCTAAATCACTTGCGGAAGACCCATCGCGCGGACAGATTTCTCGATATGCGTGGGGAACGGATTATCACCATCTTATCCGATCGAAACTAGATCAGTTAGCGACATTTATCCAAAAAACTGCCGAAGAAAAGGTTAAAACCAGAGTTTATGTAGATACCGCTCCGGTCCTTGAGCGGGAGTACGCTGAACGTGCGGGAATTGGGTGGATTGCTAAAAACACAAATGTAATCCACTGGCGGGCAGGTTCTTGGTTTTTTCTCGGAGGCATCCTAGTCAGCATCAAGTTGGACACGGACGTACTATCGCTCCGTGGAAGTTGCGGCACTTGCACCCGCTGCATTGAGGCGTGCCCCACAGATGCGATCCTAGCACCCAACATTCTTGATTCCCGGCTGTGCATCTCCTACCTTACTATTGAGTTGAAAGGGAGCATCCCACATAAACTCCGCCCGCAGATGGATAACCTAATTTTCGGTTGCGACATCTGTCAGGAAGTCTGCCCCTGGAACAGCAAGGCCGTACCGACAAAGGAACGCGGCTTTTATCCGCGCAAGGGGAATCTCGCCCCCACGCTGCTATCACTCATCAACATGACACAGGAACAGTTTAGTAGACGCTTTAGGAACAGCCCAATCAAGCGAGCGAAACGACGCGGCTTTCTCCGAAATGTTGCGGTCGCGCTTGGGAATTGGAAGGATCGCGCTGCGGTGCCTGCCCTTAAACAGGCGTTGAACGATGACGAACCTCTAGTTCGTGGTCATACTGCATGGGCATTAGGGCAGATTGGCGGTAAAGCGGCAAGAAAAGCACTACAAACGCGTTTGGACACGGAAGTTGATACAGAAGTTATTACAGAGATTAAAGACGCACTGGACCAGAGTTCTTCCAAGGATTGAAGGAAATAGTTGACATGGGTATATTCCATCGACCTGCAACGGACTTTTCTAGCGTAACACCGAAACCTTATCGGTTAACTTACGTTAATGAAAATGTAACTTGCGAATTGTCTATCGGAGGAGGAATACCCGTTGCATATCAATCAAATTAAAATCAGTGGTTTTAAGAGTTTCGCCGAAGATGTGGAGTTAATATTGGAGCCGGGGGTCACAACCATTGTAGGTCCCAACGGCTGTGGCAAGAGCAATGTATCAGACGCAATTCGTTGGCTCCTGGGCCAACAGAGCCCTCGCGCCCTGCGTTGTGCCAATATGCAAGATCTCCTTTTCAACGGTGGATCGAACTTTAAACCAGCACAGCGGGCACAGGCTTCCCTCCATTTCACCAACGTTGAGGGAAAACTTGCGCTCGAATCTCCGGAAATCGCAGTTCGCCGTCAATTGACACGTAGCGGTGAAAGTGAATATTTCATTAATGACGCTCCATGTCTGTTACGAGATATTACTGAACTCTTTATGGATACAGGAATTGGCGTCGATGCCTATTCTGTCATGGAGCAGAGCAAAATCGATCTCATCCTCAATACTCGTCCCGAAGAGCGTCGCTTCCTGTTTGACGAGGTTGCAGGCATCACCAAATACAAGCATCGCAAAAAAACCGCGATTAAAAAGCTAGAAGCAACTGAGCAGAACCTTGTGCGGATTAATGATGTTATCCACACCGTGCAGCGTGAAACTGAATCGCTCAAGCGGCAGGCTGAACAAGCCAAACGTCATCAACAACTCCACGGTCAACTGAGAAATCTCGAATTAGACCTCAGCCGCCGGGAGCATGGGCGGTTCGCCAAAGACTTGACTCAAACACAACTCAACTTAGATGAACTGATGCTTGCTGTGACAGAAGCCAACGAGCAGATCGATTCCACTGAGCAGCAAATCGAGGACGCGACAGCGCGCCGAGCCGAGTTAGATAACTTAATTCGCGATGGGCAAGGGGTTGTGAGCCGATTCGCAAGTGAAATCGAACAAACGGAGCGGCAAATTGCACTTTATAAGGAACGACAGCTAAATATTCAGCAGCAACGCCAACGGGCACTTCAGGCAATCGAATCACTGGAAAAACAGTCGGCGGAATTTGAGGCACAAAAAGAAGAACGCGAGCAGGAGCACAGACAGGTTGACGTTTCGCTTCAGTTGGAGGAAAGCCGGCTGACCGCGCGGCGGCGGGTTTTGACCGCACTCGATACGCGGGTGACGGAAACCGAAAGCTCCGTGGAGGCAGCGCAGGAAAATTTGCTTGAAACCAGGAATCAGGTTTCACAACTAGAAACGCAACTTGCATCGCTCAACAACAAGCTAGAGTATTCAGCTGCCAATCTGGATCGAATTACAGAACGTTCAAACGCCTTAGGCACTGAACTGGAGACGGAAAAAGCGAGCTATACAAAGGCGCGACGACGTGAACAGCAGCTTAATGCTGACCTGATTCGCCTTGAGACCGACCAACAAAAGGCTGAAGAAGATATCCAACGCTATCAGACGGAACTCCGCAAGCTAGAGTCCGAGATGCGAGGGATGCAGGATTCACTCGGTACTAGTGCTTCACGGTTTAAGTCATTACGGGATTTGCAAGCCGCCCATGAAGGTTACTACACAGGTGTACGCGCGATCCTGAAAGTCCGCGAAACAGAACCAGAACGCTTCGGCGGAATTTGTGGCGTTATTGCCGAACTCATCCGAACCGAACCGGACTACGAGTTAGCAATCGAAGTGGCATTGGGGAGTGCGATCCAAAACATTGTTACAAAAACCGCTGAAGATGCTCAGTCCGGCATTGAGTTCCTCAAGCGGACGAAAGCTGGCCGGGTGACATTCTTGCCCTTGGATATTCTGCGGACTCGCCCATTCCATGGTAATGGCTTACTGGAGGGAGGCTGGTGTAATCGGTCTGGCAGCTGAACTCCTAGACTACGATCCAAAATATGAGGTTGCGGTTCAGCAACTGTTGGGAAATACGGTCGTGGTCGAGGACCTTGACACAGCGATAAAATTGACGAGGCGTTCCCGCCACAGCGCACGCCTCGTCACGCTGGAGGGGGAGTTAATCAATACTTCTGGCGCAGTTACGGGCGGGCATAACACCAGTTCAACCAGTGGACTCCTGAGTCGCTCAAGGGAGCTAGAAAGCCTACAGGAACGTATTAATCAGCTGACAAACCAGCTTAACGAAAAGGACACCAGAAGCAAAAAACTCGCCGGCAAGTTAGCGGAACTCCAACAGACCCGGCAAACCCTCATCACACAAGGGCAAACACATCAGATTGAGCATGCGAGTTTATCAAAAGTTTTGGAACAGGGACAGCGGCAAATCAGTCAGCTTGAGGAGCAGTTGAGCGATGTAGAGAAGGAAGAGGTAAACCTCCATCAGGAAACAGAAAAAGCGAAAGCTGATCAGGACGCGCTTCAGTCTGAATTGGAGAAAGCAGCCAAGACGCGCCGCACGTTACAACGACGCATCGAGCGATTGTCAGAGCAGATCCAGAGCGAAAAGAGCAAACGGGAGGAAGTCATCGAGTCCTGTCAAGAACTTGAAATTGCCTTGGCAGGGAAACGGGAAAAATTGCAGAGCCTGAGTTCCGAACTCCTGAACCTTCAAAAAAATCAGGCACAGATTCGCGAGAGTATCGGTGAGCATCAGGCAGTTATCGATTCTGACGACCAGACCCGTCAGGAACTCTCCTCACAGATTGATGAAGCGCAACGCAAATTCCTCCAGATAGAGCAGGAAAAATTCGAGGCTGAAGAAAATGTTAGACGGCTAGAGGAGGAACATATAGGCTTAATTGAACAGATTGCGGAAGCGCAGAAGTTGATGCGCAAAGCGAGGAGAGAATTTGATAAGCATAACCGCCTGCGTCATCACCTAGAGGTCACGACAACCCAGTTACAGATGCAATTGAAGGCAATCGCCGCACGAATCCTAGATAAGTATCAAATCACAATCGATCAGATTGAGATTGAGGAAAATCCGGTTGACGACCTTGAACTGATGGGGCAAATTGACACGCTGAAAACTGAGATTGAAGAAATGGGAGCTGTTAATCTTGTAGCGATTGAAGAGTATGAGGAGCACAAGCAGCGCGAAGATTTCCTTGTCACTCAACGTGAAGACCTAGAGAGGTCGCTCGAATCGGTCAATCAAGCAATTCAGAAGATTAACCGGACTTCGCGTGAGACGTTCCTCCAAGCATTTGAGCAGATACGCGCTAACTTTCAAGAGGTGTTTGAGGAACTTTTCGGCGGCGGAGAAACGGAGTTGCGTTTGATAGACGAATCTGATGTATTAGAATCGGGGATTGATATCATCGCCTGCCCACCGGGTAAGAGACCGCAGAGTATCACGCAACTCTCCGGCGGCGAGCGGTCGCTTGTTGCCATTGCCCTGCTCTTTGCCGTGTTCAAGATTAAGCCGAGCCCGTTCTGCGTTCTGGATGAAGTTGATGCCGCGCTCGACGAAGCGAACGTGCTCCGCTTCACGAATCTCATTCGGAAATACGCTCAACAGACACAGTTTATTATCATTACTCACAATAAGCGGACGATGGAGATTGCCGATGTTATGTACGGTGTGACGATGGAGCAAGCGGGCTTGTCAAAGGTTGTTTCGGCAAAGTTTGGCAATAAGATCGCAGCGTGATAGATGATGCGTGAAAACGTGAAAATCATGCACATTCACATTTTACCCACGCTGCAAACATTTGCTCCAACTCCGCATCCGCTCTCTCCTTAAAATTCTCTTACAAAAAGCAAAAAAATAGGCTCATATTAAAAGAAAGCGCGACGGACAAAGAGAAGCCGAGTTTTTGGCAAAAGCTCGGTTTCTGTCGCACGATTTCTTAGTATGAGCCAAAAAGTATAGTACGCTTTACTCTTCCGCTTCCGATTTTGCTTCAGCAATCACTTTTTGGGCGAGTTCATCAGGCATTTCCTCGTAACGTGCGAACTCCATCGTGAAACTGCCCCGCGCACTCGTGATCGATTTAAGGTCTATCGAATATCGGAACATCTCTGCCAAGGGCACGGTCGCTTGGATCACCTGACGTTTGCCTGCCTGCTCAACCCCCATGATTCTGCCACGTTTGCTATTGAGGTCGCCGATAATATCCCCCATGAACTGTTCAGGAACGGAAATTGTGACATTCATGATCGGCTCAAGCAGCACGGGCCTAGATTCGTTTACCGCCTCTCGAAACGCAAAAGAACCGGCAATCTGAAAAGCCATATCAGAGGAATCAACGGGGTGATGCTTACCATCGTAAAGCTCCACTTGAGCGTCAACGAAGGGATACCCGGCAATCAAACCTTGAGCCATTGACTCACGGATGCCTTTTTCAACCGCGGGGATATAATTACGCGGGATCGAACCGCCCACAACCTTGTTGACAAACTCAAAGCCGGCACTGCGTTCGAGCGGGGAAAGATTTATCCAAACCTCACCAAACTGCCCGCGTCCACCAGATTGACGTTTATACCGACCTTGGATACCACTCGCCCTGCCACGGATAGTCTCCTGATAGGAGACTTTTGGCATTTCGACCTCAGTTTCGATGCCAAACTTGTCGCGCATTCGGTTGCGTATGACGGTGAGATGTATCTCGCCAAGCCCGGAGACCAGCAACTGTTTCGTTGTGCCATTCCGTTCAATCTGGAATGATGGGTCTTCTTCCATCATCCGGGAGAGGGTCGAACTCAGTTTCTCGTCATCTCCTTCCCGCGCAGGCTTGATGGCAAATGAGATAACAGACTTAGGGAATTCGGCTCCGGGAAGTTGGAATGAACTGCCCACTTCGCAAAATGTGTCGTTCGTTTGCGCAAGCGTCAGTTTAGAGAACAACTCCGATATCGCCGGCGGAGACTTGAGGCGTGTTAATGGCGGTTTTCCCATTCATGAATGCGAGCTTGCCGATTCGTTCATTCCCTCTTTCGTCGCGTTGTAAACTTGAGAGTCGCCATCTAAGATCGCCAGAATAAACACGAAAGAAACTGAGTCTACCTGCGAACGGGTCTGCTAATGTCTTAAAGACCAACGCCGACAGCGGCGAATCTGGGGATGCCTCATAGGTTGTTTCGTCATCGGTTCCTGTAATCGGTCTGGCATCTACGGGGGATGGGCAGCAGTTCGCGATCATGTCCATCAGCGGATGAACACCGATATTCTGGAGGGCATTGCCACAGAGAACAGGCACGAATTGATTAGCAGCTAATCCTGTACGGAGTCCGGCACTAATCTCCGCATCGGTGAGCTCATCCCTCAAAGAATTTTTCAATCAACTCATCATCGCTTTCTGCTGCAACATCGACAAGTTGCTCCCGCATCTCTTCGGCCTGTGCTTCAAGTTCGGAAGGGGTCTCTGATTTCGGTGAAGGCTTATTATCCTGCGGTTCCGTGAACGCTCCCATCTGGATGAGATCGACAACCCCTTTAAAGTCAGCTTCTTTACCAATTGGCACCTGCGTCACGGCAGTTCGGGTTTCAAGAACCTCATCGACGCTTGCAAGCGCGTTTTCAAAACTAGCGTTCTCTTTATCCATTTTGTTGATAAAGATCATCCGTGGGAGTTCATATTTATCAGCGGCTTCCCATACCTTCTCCGTACCCCCTTCGACGCCGGTCGTTGCATCAATTACCACGATAACGGCATCTACCACCCGCAGTACGCTCTCAAGATCTCCATGAAAATCTTCGACACCGGGCGTATCAATAACGTTGAACTTGTATCCTTTCCACTCGGCGACACACACGGACAGTCAATTGTCGTCTTGCGTTCAATTTCATCTGGGGCATAATCTGAAACTGAACTCCCGTTATCAACTTGTCCCATCCGCTCAATTGCGCCCCCATTATAGAGTATGGCTTCGATGAGTGAGGTCTTCCCTGTGCCCGAATGCCCAATAATACCGATATTCCGAATCTGGTCCGTCTGATATTCCTTCATCAAAAAACTCCTTACGGTGTCAGTTTAACCACAAAACGTCGCAAAAAATGCAATCAAGCAGGTCTGTAAAGTTTTTGTTTGTATAAGTTGAATCTGATGTCACCGCTACCCACTTCCTCCTAGAGGTCCCTTTCGCGTCGTTTATCGTTGACCGCATCGGGGGAGGTAAGCATCGGCCGCCAAACCGACGAACATCTTACACACCCGAACCAAACAAAGGGATTAGCAACCACCTTCAAATTTTCCAAAATCCCTTCAAATTGAGAAAGAGAGTAACCCATTAAGGTGTTACCTACTAAATCTTGACCTGCTTTGGAAATTGCTAAAACGTTGGTGATTGTAGCACACCCCTATGGGAAATGCAAGCAAAAAGAATTCGATCGATTTTTCCCTTTACAATAGCACAATTTTCCTCTATACTTGGATGTGCGAGTATACGATGGCATAAATCCCCAATACCTCTACTGATAGAGGTCTGGAACTCTCAAGGCGTCGGAGGAATCGGACGGATACGGAGGGAACTTAGGAGGGGTCAAAAACTTTTGTCGTTCGGTACGAGCAGATTCTGATGTTCCATCGAATTGGAGTCGTGCATGAAAGACATTTTGAACGTTCTAATCTGTTTACTCTTTCCCATAGCTTGGGGGGCACTCATTAACTGGATCTTTACCTTTCTCGAACGTCGTACCGGCCGTTCAACTCCCCCCAATCCTAGAATTGACTATCACATTTGAATCTATAACGCTAGATGAACGTCGATATCAGTGGCATACCTGTTAATATCTTGGGGTTGATTGCTTTAGGGTGCATCAGCGGTTTCCTATCAGGTTTCTTCGGGATCGGTGGGGGACCGCTAATCACCCCGATCCTCAATATCCTATTCGGCATTCCCTTCCCAATTTGCATCGGGAGTACGCTTTCTCCGGACAGCCGGTACCACTTTCTCTGCTGTATTGCGGTATTGGAAGTTCGGCAATATAGATGCAAAACTGGCATTGATGATTGTGGGAGGTAATTTTGTCGGTATTGAGATTGGGGTATATCTGCTCGACTGGCTGGATAAACTGGGAGAGATCAGTGTCGGCAGTCAATCAATGCCAGCACTTCAGTTTTACCTGCAATGGCTTTTTTCGGGGTGCTTATCACGGTTTCAGGGTTGATTCTCATAGAATCGCTGATTCACAGAGGAAAAAGCAATTACAAACAGCCACTCGGCTTACTTCGATATCTCCCCATCCCACCTTACGTTTCCTTTCCCATCACCGGTGTTCGCCGAATCTCACTTCCGGCAATTGTATACTCAGCACTCATTATCGGTATTTTCACAGGATTGCTCGGGATCGGCGGCGGCATCCTCTTCGTGCCGCTACTGATCTATGGGTATGGCGTTGAGACGCATGCGGCAGTTGGCACGACTTCGCTTATCGTATTTTTTTCTGCTGCTTATGGGACTGCGACCCATGCAATGCGGGGTAATGTCGATTTATGGCTAGTTGTGTTTTTGCTGATTGGATCTACAATCTGTGCACAGGTGGGGGTAATCGCGAATCAGAGGATACAGGGCGATTCAATCCGCTTCTGTTTTGCGTTTATCGTTTTGATTGTGGCGGGGATGATTGGCTTTAATCTTCTACGCGTAGATCTATGGGTAGCTGAAATAAGGGTAGCTGAAATAAGGAATTATGCAGATATAGCTTTTTTCACCTACAAATTAGATGTTGACATACCGATGGCATCCTGTTATCACATTTAGTCAATCATCTAATTTAGGAGCGCATCGCCTTTCTCTTTTTTACTCCTAATACCGGGCGAGGGTGTCTAACAAAGACACCCTCGCTACATTACCAAAATAAAAAACTTTACGAAAAAAGTAACTAGATGCTATAATACCACTAGCTGAAGGCCAAAACGGCCAACAGCCAGTGGAAGGTTGTCAAGAGTAAAACCTAACGTCTACCAGATGAAAGACGCTTTAGGTAAGCCAAATATGAGCTCCGAGAATAAAACGTCTTCGTGCCATTTGGCGTTTGAACCGTCCAGCGTTCCTGCACTCTGACTTTAGGTTTAATCTTAACCCGTCGTGTCACCACAGTTCTACGGCGCATGGGAATCACCTCCTTCCTATAAACTAAAAAACCTAGGTATAATCATAGGAAGCGAACCTATGACCTAGGCAATTTTAGTTCAAATAGATGAGAAATTCAGAGCCCCTTGGGGTGTCACTAGCACCCCATGGGGTTTTTCTTGTCCAGTGCTATACCATATAGATTCCTAATCGGCGATCAAATCGGGCAGCGATCTATACCCGCACTAGTAGGCAGTGGCGCCATTCTATGAAGCAGACAACCCCACTGGCTAATTTTAGGCTTCCGGTATGGACAGCACTACCACTACCAGAAAGGCTTCATGCCTCTGTATATCGCAGAGGCGGTTTTCAAGTCTAATCACCGAAAGAACAGTGTTATCACTGAACAGTTTATTAGAGGATGCTTCGTATGAAACATCCCCTAACAATCGCAAGAATTATTTCTTGCATTTCGGAGAGGACTTTACTTTTTCAGCAACAGTCCTTTTTGGCCACCGCATTGCTGATGCTTTACTGATATATCGACCAGTAATAGCGCTGCGGTATTTTGTGCAAGCCATTGCCTTTTACCTCCTTTCGTTAGGATAAGGCATTGGGGCAAAGGGTGTTACCAGCACCCTTTGCTATCTTAATCTGCGAATAGAATTTCTTAGATTTACTACATCAGTTTCCAAATCATCTATTGCACAAATTAGTGTTCCAGTTCTGGTTCGAGTGCCAATCTTTGAATTTAGGGTATTGATTCGTGAATTCAATGTGTATTTTCCAACCTTTACGCTGACCTTCAGCCGTTCGTCACGTGTGATTCACAGGTATCGACACTACCGGTAAGGCTTTGAATTGCCGAAGCCAACTGTTAGCTGCTCGGTGCTTGCTATAATTTACATAATAAATAAAAATGTAAAAATTTATTGACAGCAAAAGGTCTGTATGATATAATCCATATCCGCAAAAAAAGACCCCAATTGCAGGCAAGGCTACGCTCGTTGGGGTAGGATTGCATATACTGGCATCAGCCTGAGCCCGCGAGATGTCGTCGTTTTTGTAGAAAAAAAGCACCTTAGTAGTCTAGGACACCACGCAAACGTCTAATAGTTGGCTTGAAAGCCACCGATGCTGTGCAACTCGTGGCTCTTTTCTGTTCCGGAAGAACATAGCCCTTTAAATAAATAAACTTTCGATTCTAAAAGTTTTAACACGTCTCATCTCTTCAGCGCTCTCCGCCCCTACGAACACTCCGCACTATCGTCGCGTCCCGCAATTCAGACAAAGCGATACACAGGTGCCGTTCTCGCTACACATGATTGTCCGCGCAATCATGTGACAAGGCTAAGCATCTGACTGCAGTCCCGCTGTTCAGTATGCGGACTGATTTTTTCCGACGTCTTCTAGGCCGCTTTGAGCGTTCTCTTGCCCCGGATTGATATCACATCTTTCGTAATCCGGGTGGGGCAGGCTGCTGTGGTTGAGAGGCTGATTAACCTAATGGTTTTCCGTCTCCTCCGGGTTCATAAATCGCTCTCTTCGCTTTGAGGCGCGAATTTCAGTCCCAGCCAGCGGAATACATAGTCGATGATTGACTTGGCTATCGGGATATCCTTATTGTTGGTGAATCCCGCAGGCTCAAATCGGACATGGCTGAACTTATCGACTAGTGATTCTAGCGGAACACCGTATTGTAGCGAGATAGAGGTCATTGTCGCGATAGTATCCATCAATCCAGAGATGACTGAGCCTTGCTTTCGACATCTTGAGAAACACCTCGCCGGGGCTGCCATCTTCGTAAATCCAACGGTGATATAGCCTTCATGACCCGCAAGCTGAATTTGTGGGTAATTGAATCACGATCGTTGGGCAGACGACGGCGGATTGGTCGTGCTTCCGGTTCCTCCTTCTTCTGCTTCTGCTCTCGTCGTGCTGAGAGGTTGCGACAGTTTGGATCCATCCCGATAGATGCCACTCGCCTTCAACCCCCCAGTTTCCATGCCTCAACATAAAGGTTCTCGACCTCTTCAACCGTTGTTTCGTGCGGCATGTTGATGGTTTTGGATATCGATCCACTCAGAAATGGCTGTGTCGCGGCGACCATGCGAACATGTGCCATCGGCTCAATGTAACGCTGACCATAATTCCCCGCATTTATTGGCACAATCAAAGATGGGCAGGTGTTCAGCTTTCAGATGCGGTGCACCTTCAATGGTCATCATACCACAAATTACCTTGCTTGCTTCTTCAATTTGCTGCTTCGTAAATCCCAATTCACTTAAGAGAAATCAAAATCTGGCGCGTTATATTGCTCCGGACCAAATCCGAGACGCGCCATCCCTTCCTCTCCAACGGTGTAGGCGTTAAACCCATGCGCCAACTCAAAGACGGAGGGTAACGTCGCTTCAATCTGCCCGATTTCCTCGTCAGTCAAACTCTTCTGTTTAAGAGACACATTATTGATATGCGATGAACCGATTAGCGAAGAAGTACCTTGCACATAAGTCACAATGTCGTCAATCTCTTCGTCTGTATAACCAAGCTTTTTCAATGCCCGTGGCACCGATTGGTTGATAATCTTAAAGTAACCGCCCCCTGCCAACTTCTTGAATTTCACGAGCGCGAATTCAGGTTCAACGCCGGTCGTATCGCATTCCATCAGCAGCCCTATGGTGCCGGTAGGCGCTAGCACAGTCGCTTGTGCATTCCGATAGCCATACTGCCTCCCCATCTCAACCGCGTCATCCCACGTTTGCTGTGCGGCCTTCAACAGGTGAGGCGGGCAGACATCCGGGCTAATGCGATAGGCTGCGTCACGATGTTTACTCATCACATGCAGCATCGGTTCGCGGTTCTTATCGAAGCTGGAGAAGGGACCTTTGACCGCAGCCATTTCAGCGGATGTTCTATAAGCCTCACCACAGAGGATTGCGGTGAGTGCACCGGCGACGGCATATCCTTCTTCGCTATCATAGGGGATACTGTTGACCATCAACAGGGTTCCCAGATTGGCATATCCCAATCCGAGCGGTCGATAGTCGTGGCTATTTTGAACGATTTTGCGGGTCGGATAGGAGGAGAAATCCACAAGGATTTCCTGACTGATGAAGAAGATTCGGCAAGCATGTTTGAACCCTTCGACATCAAAGTTTCCATCTTCATCAACGAATTTGAGTAGATTGATAGAAGCGAGATTACATGCGGAGTCGTCAAGGAACATATATTCTGAACATGGATTACTACTATAAATTCGACCGGTATTCGCACAGGTGTGCCAGTCGTTGATTGTCGTGTCAAACTGCACCCCCGGATCCGCACAAGCCCAAGCGGCTTCGGAGATTTGACGCATGAGATCTTTGGCTTCAAAAGTTTCGCAGATTTCGCCCGTTGTACGCAACGTCGTATGCCATTTTCACCACGCAGATAGGCATTCATGAATTCGTCCGTGATTCGGACAGAGTTATTCGAGTTTTGCCCTGAACGGTCTTATATGCCTCCCCATTGAAATCAGAGGGATAACCAGCGGAGACGAGTGCCGCCACCTTCTTTTCCTCATTAACCTTCCAATTGATGAAATCAACGATTTCCGGGTGATCCATATCGAGGCATACCATCTTTGCGCGCGTCTGGTAGTCCCTCCAGATTTGGTCGCCCCTGCCCCACGGTCAAAAACCTCAAGAAAAGACATCAGTCCACTGCTCGTACCACCACCGGAGAGTTTTTCCTGCCGTCCTCGAATTTTGAAAAAGTTCGTACCAGTTCCCGAACCGTACTTAAAGACACGCGCCTCATTTTTGACCAACTCGAAAATCGACATTAGGTCATCGTCAACAGATTGTATGAAGCACGCGCTGCATTGTGGATGGTCGTAGTTATTTTCAGTTTGGGCCGCACTGTTTTTTTCAAAATCCCAATACCAATTGCCTGTCCCACCTGTAATTCCATATTGATGATACAGTCCACAATTAAACCAGACTGGCGAATTAAACGCACCGCGTTGCATGACGAGCAGATCTGTCAACTCCATCTCAAAGGCATCAGCATCCTCCGGTGTGGCAAAGTAGCCGCCAAAGGCTTCGCCGGCATCGCGGATGGTATGGGCGACACGTTGGATGAGTTGACGAACACTTGTTTCGCTCTCCATTTCAGGCACGCCCGCTTTACGGAAATATTTGGACACCGCAATATCCGCTGCCAATTGGGACCAGTTCGATGGGACCTCAACCTCGTTTTTCTCGAAGATAGCCTCGCCTTTTTCATTATAATACCGAGCTTCGAGATTCCCACTCAATTGCATCGAATGGATGCACATCGGGCATGGTATACCGTCGATCGATTTTCAAGCCCCTGTTTCTGTGTAGTATCTTCAAGCAGAGAGGGTTCGATGTCAGCAGTTTCATCCGATGGCGCGACGGCTATCGAATCTTGATTAACACTGAAATCGTTGGTTTGGGACATTTTGATTCCTTTCCTATGAGTGCGATAAAAAGCGCTGCAGATTCAGCGACTCATCTATAATTCGCTCAAAGAGAGCCGTGAATCACGGCTCTCTTTGAGCGAGAGGTTTCATTAATCTAATCATCAGGTTCCAACTGACGAGCTCGTTTTCAAAATCTGCCGCATCCTTGAAGTCTCGGTAAACAGAAGCAAACCGAATATATGCGACACTATCCAAGCTTTTGAGCGCATCCATAACAATTTCACCAATGATATGACTTTCGACCTCGGACCTGTGCATACTAATGAGTTGTTGTTCGATATCCCCGATTAAGCGATCAATGGTTTCCTGACTAATCGAG